TAACGTAAAATGACATTATGTAGCAAACGTGAATAACCGACTCGTGCCCAGATGATAGCCTCAATCCTTCTCCTCATACAACTAGGAAGGCTTCTAATGCGAGTTTGATGTACATTTTGCCATTCTTAGGGTAGAGCTTGTTTCAGTTGTTGCAGATTGATTACAAGTGGTTCGTACCATTCATTGCCCAAATAAAATTCAAAATTTCAATTGTGGTCATGTAAAAATTGAGGTAACATGCTGAGTATTTAACTTATTTCACAGGTGTTTATACATGAAAAAGATAAATATAAGTATACGAATATAAGGATGTCCATTAACCCTTTGAAAGTTACAAACTGAAATCCGGGAATCTCATTGGCCATAAGTAAATTAGTAACATAATCTTAAGGAGCTTTCAGTCACATATACTTATTTAATGTCCTACATAAGATAATGGAGTATCTACGAGTAGTTTGATTTGTGGATATTTGAGTCCTGTGAACATTGTTTCCTTCCATTAAATATTTTACAACAGTCAACTCTGTTTTGAACTTTTCAAATGGACAGCTTATCAAACATAAGAATTAACTGTGATAAGAATGACAGTTTACATGTTTTGTCTATAGTGTTACAGTCATGTGGGCGTTGCCGTTGCCGTCCCAAAAAACTTTTAACGTTATTGGTAAATTGTCTTCATACTTTACCATAACAACTCTTGAGACCTTCAAGTAGACCAGATTAAACTTGACCTTCATTCATAAATGACATTGACCTTCCAGGCATAATGTGTAAAATATGCTTTATTGTTTGCTTATTTTTATTTGTTTGGGTCGTCAGACTAAACAAATAATGGTAGCGAAATTTCAGACCCTGATGTGCTTATTAGCAAAAACCGAAAGTAGTCCAATCTCCTCGAAGCGGTTACTTCACTTGCAAAGTACACTAACGCCGGAAAATTAAGGAGAAATCACTGCGTAAAGATTGTCAATTGACAGGCGCATTAATTCTCGGTTCCCGATTGGTCGCAGATTTCTAATATTATGTTATTCTATGTTATTCTTTACAGATAAATATGCTTATAATAAGCTTCGTGATTATTAACATCAGTGTTCCACAACAGGTTTACCGTGAGATTAATAAAGGTTACATACCCTAATTTAGAATAATGGTTTTCTTCAGGCTTCTATCGTTAAACTTCACCGTGGTCGAGGGGTTACACGCTCGTTATTAAGCGAGATGTATGGAGTTCAAGTCCCAGTTTAGCCACCTTTTTTAAAAATTGGTTAAACCAAATAAACATTGAATTGAATATCAGTGTTGCAATTAGCCTTATAGCTTTTCCAAACAAACCTTGTTTTTCAGTCATAGATGACCTTGATCTCAAAGATCAATTAATTGAAAATTTCATTATTTTTTTTTAATGATCCTGACCTTGACGCATATCAGAGACATTATTTTTCAGCAGTATTTTAATTCAAAATGAAATTCTACTTTTTTGTTGAATGTCGGGGTATTACTAATGCCATGGTATACATTAAAACACTAACTCGTGTCCGTCTTTTGATTGATTATTGATAACATGTATTGTCCCTTTGGATAATGTAATTAAATATTCTAATGGAAGTTTGTTTACTTAGTTATTAAGTTTAATAATTTATTTACCTCCTTTTTAATCCTTTATATCGTTATTAGCAACATTCATTTTACATTTATTTTACACATCAAATGTTATGAGAGAATAGTACAATCATACATTTTCATACAATAAGATAAAATTCAAATATTTTACAAAGGATGTTATTAATTTTAAAACTTGAATTCTTATATTTCTTTTTAAGCTAACAAAATTTCCTCTCAAGCTAATAGATCATGTGGCACTATTCTCAGATAGGGGGATACTTTGCAACACCTGACATACAAGTGAATATTTCATCGATAACTTTGTCCTTCTAGATGGGGAATCATAGGTTGGATATTTTTTTAAAGAAACACCTAATTATATTCATATGAAGCATTTAACTAAATACATGTATATACCCCTCAGAAAGTTTTCAATGTGTATTTTTCTTATTTTGTCTATTGAAACAAAGATAATATCAAGTTTATTTTCAGTTATTTTGTTAAAAATGTCAACGTGTTAAATAACGATTTTAAATGTTGTTTATTTAAAAAACGTCTTGAATCAAATTCTTATTTTCTTTATTTTGTTTTATTCACTGTGGCATTGTATATGTCTAAACTCCTGTCCTAAGTACATATGTTTCATGTTTTGGACACACAGAAAAAATATTTTTACCTAAACTTTCTTTTAAATGGAAGAATTCGCGTGAGTGTTCCTAAAATAACTTTTTTTTACGTTTATTTAACGTTTAAATATCGTGCTTTAATTTAATATTCAAAAGTGTTCCGTAGACTTCTAAATAATTTTATAAATTTTAATCAAATCTTCTGATTCAACTTATAGTGAATATTATCTCTGCTGTATGAAAAGATATATCCTTATATTTCATGAATGTTTTTTTTCTAAAATACCAATTCTTTATGTTAACCATTTTTAAAAATTCAGATTTGAAAACACAAACTGCATTTAATGACTACATCTTAATTATCCATGAAGGTATTATGTAAGAACTTGTTTTGAAAAGAACAGCATCCATGTATGTTAATGAAACGATGAGTTCAACAATAGAGCAGGATGTTAGTCAAATGTTTCGCGCCGTGATGTGATAACAGAAGTATAAAGATGTTGATAAACCTCGATCCGGAACGAGAGTTATCATTATAGTAATACCTCAGATTGAATGGTAACAAAAATAATTGCTACGTAATGTTGTGTTTTGAGTGTCTTTCGGCCGAGAAGAGATAAGAGATATTTATGTAGCTTAAAAAAATATTCATTATAAAAACATCAATATGAGTGTTTTCCGTAAGCTGTCCCTATTTTAAATATACTTAATGATGAAGTTTACATGTTTCATCTATCGTATTGTATAGTAAACAGTTTTCATTCCTGGGTCAAATTGTATTTTACTGTTGCAGACAATGTTGGTTTGTGTGTTTGTTTTGTTTATTTTTACGGATCGGCAGTACAATTAAGGTCATATTGCGCCTAATTAGGAAAGATGATTTTGGTTAACCTCGGTAGATACAAACTTAAAACACCAGGGGTCAAAACCATCTCACCTGCTTGAACTGAGAGACGCATGTCTCCAGTAATTCCAACTCAATAACCCGCCACCTACGATCACGAAGGGAGACACGGTGGTTGAAATTCTGATGCCTCAACACTTAAAGGCAAACCCTTAGCCACAGGGGGATTATTGTTTAACAGTTAATACTAAGAAGTCACATCTTGCTACTCTAAACATATCAGAAAAAATATTAAATTTTAAAAAGACCATAAAGATGGGCATGATTGTTTTTCACCAGCATTTTCTTTGGAATTTATCAATTTAAAAGAATTTCTTTCGATAGTTTCTTTAAAGTTCATTTAAAATATATTCGACTTTGTCATTCGATGTTTTTTTGTTTTTGTTTTTTTTTTTTTTGTGTGTGTTTTTTTCTTGATGTGTGTTTCTTGTATTCCTGCTTAAATACTATATATTCATCCTATAGATATGTTCCCTGATATTTTTATTTGACCGGGTGATATGCAGAGTTCGTTACCCTATTTCCCTTTAAAAAAACAAAACTAAGTTTTGTTGTTCTTCCTGCTTTGCTTGCTTTTTATAGGAATAGGCCGGATGGGTCTCATTAAAGATTCCTTTCGCATAACTACATCTACGGATGCTTCCAAATTAAAGATTTACCGGTAGTCGAACTCATTTGAAGGCTATCAAGGTTTTTTCCTGTTTTTCCGTCGGCAAATAATTTTTTAAGTGAATTTCAAAAAAGAAACAGCCGTCCGACAAAATACTACTTAAAAGGTTGAAGATATGTTACCTCTGCATTACTTTGATTATTTTGAAATATTTCTTCATCCTTTTTTGTATATAGTAACAAGTGTATTAATGCAAGTTATCACATGAGCTTATCCTCTACGAGATCCAAAAAAAAAAAGATAAAGTGACGATGGACTCTAAGAAATGCAACATTTTGATACTAAAAGCAACAGAAAACATCTTGCGATTTCGTTGGATAGCACCATTTAGGGAGGTCTCAAACTATTGAAATCTGACTAATGAGAAGATGACTGTGGGCTCGATTCATTGGATGGTTCAAATACCTAGAATACATTTAATATTATTAAAAGAAACTGTCGAGTTGGTTTGATCCCTTGTCATGCTAGCGACATGCAATATTGGATATTTGGCATGTGTCGTGTGTCTAACACTGTCATAAAGACCTGCTTCCAAACTATTAAAAGGAGCCAATTTGTAGAAACCCTATGTGTAGGTGTCGGGAGCTTCGGAAATGCTTATTTTACCCACTAAAGGTCGTCGTTCGGGATTTTTTAAACACCTTAGAGTGTGAAAAGAGAAGTTACCAAGCTATTGTTTGGGCAAAAGGTATTTTTTATAAAAAATAAGGATAGATTGATGAAAATATGGTTCGTTACTTTAACTTTGTTTCTATGTCAAGAAATGTTGCTGCTTGCCTAGTAGAACAAACTATTTGTTTCTTTGCTCTTCTTTAATTCAAATATAGGAGTTATACTTTAAATCTGCCGTCATTAAAATCGTATTTGAAACTTTAAGAACAAAACATTATATTTTTCTGGTCCTTCGGAATCATTGATGCCAGCACTATTAATTGTTGAGAATTGAGTTCCGCCCAAGCCGGTGCTAGGGGGCGTGAGGGATGTTGCACTTATTCATTATAACTCATGTACAGACTCAATCAAACCGAGTCTGCAATTTTCATGAAATTTTGTTGTGATTAATGCTTCCGAGGGATCACTTTGTTTCCAGATTTTTAGTATCTCTTGAAACCTTAATAAAATGCAATATGGAGAATCTGTACATTTTAACTGTTTCTGTTAGATAATAAGAAAACTGATATTGGAAATACATTTTATATGTTAATGAAAAGCGTGTACCAAGATATATAAGTAATAAAGAATTTGACAAAAGTACATTTAAAATGATTAAAAACAAAACACGTCGTTATTAAAAGTATTAAAGTTGTGCATTACAATTTAAATGTATAATATGATCAATAAATAAAATATTGTGAAGATTTTGAATGAACCTTGTAAGATTTGCATGGCTTCAATCATCAGATATATCACACACAAATTTCTTCTTGAAATGATGATGATTTGTAAGACTCAAACAATTAACTAGCTGACTGTAAAATCATTACTGCGCAAAGTTCTCAATTAACTAGCTTACAGTGAAAAATTATTGCGCAAAGTTTTTTTTTACAAGTGTAGCAAGTGTACACACATTTTGTTGGGTTAATGAGTAGTGTTTAAATGACTGTATGTGTCATCTCCATCATGAAGGTTCTTTTTACAATCTTTGTTTACATCCCCATTATCGTTTTCTTGATTATCAGTTACACCATAAATATTGTCTGTTTTGTTATTTTTCAAGAGGTTTCTGCTGATGTGATTATATGTGTCTTCATCATTTCCGTTTAATTTTTTGGGGGATTCTTTATCACATCCTGTATCACGTAACGCTTTCAGTTTTATAGCTGCTTTTTCGGTTGTGTCGTAAGTGTCATCAGCTTTTGTGCCAAAAGTTTTATTTAAATGTAATGTATTATAATCATCGTTTATTTCTGTTTCCTCTTTTCTGAAATCTGAGATGTCACCATCTGTATGAGATTCCCTGGAGCCAGGTTCCAGGACGAAATAAGTATGTCCGTAATTACCATTTCCTACGTCAAGATCTGGTTTAACATCGACATTATGATTGTCTTTAAGTTCACTTATTTGTTCGTAATCATCAACTGCTGAGTCGGAATTTTTCAGCTTATTTTCAGCGGGAATTATATCGGATATTCTTTTTGATAGATTATCCAGTGCAGAACCTTTGGTGCATATGCCTTGCAATTTCCCTCTGAAATTCAATAATTGTAGAAAATAAATCAAATTCGAAAAATAATTAGGAAATATATCGATTTAAGTACCTACTTGTAGAATAATACATAACTTGATTTCAAATGTGCTGGAACATTTCACAATGGGCGGTAGGCCTGAGTGATTAATGCGAATCATTTAAACGAAAGACCGTGCATTATAACTCAAAGCGCAAGACAAAAATATGTTTCCATTTTTACATGCTAGTAATTAAAAGAAAATTGATATATGTATGTTTAACTCAATTGAGCGGAGAACTATAGAGCTACTTCTTTCGGAGGTATACGGTAAATCGCTCTTTCGCTAGCTCTATCGTTTACCAGGCGTGTTTACATGAAGTTACTCCTTTAAGGTATTTTCATGTTAACAGTTGACGAGATACGTGATACAGGTATCACAAATTTTAGGCTGTTTAAAGCCTTTTATAGATTACACAAAAACGAGAATCACGAGCTAAATAGAAAATATAGTTTATATTGCATAACATATTGACACATCCTCGTCATAGGCACTCGGTTCCACAATATTCTATGATTTTAATTTCTTTAAAAAAAATTTAGTTTGTATATAAAATACCAATCTCCACGCAGTGATCTCCCCTTAATTATTCGGCGTAGATCTCTGCCACCAAGGTCCGATATATCAGAATTTCTGATATACTATTTTTTTTTCAAAAATTGTTTTATCTGCTGCTTTTATCTATCAGATAAGTTTTTTTCTCATTTATTTGACGACGTTTATGAATAAATAACTAATAATATGAATATTTAGAAATAATTTTAAAAATTACGAGAATACTTTCTACCGAGACAATATTTTGATATTTTATATTTTTTAGCTTTTAAATGTATTTTTCGTTATTTTGTATACTTTTTATAATTTTTTGAAAAACTATATCGAACGTAAGCACTAAAAATTAAAAATAAGACAGAAAGAGCAAAATGACGTTAGATTTTCTATGTAACGGTCGATATTTACATTCGAATTTCGACGTGACGTTATGTGACTTTCATCATCATGTGACGTCTTTGAAGGCAGTGATTACAATTCTGCCAAGGGGGAGGTAGTCACTGTGAGGAGTTTGATAAAATACTACAAGGTTTCGCAGCCGCCATGTTTTAACGGAAGTGTATTGACTGGTTTACAATTTAAAAAAATACTGGCTTTCGCGTTACTTTTTAAAGAATATTATCGATGCGGATACCACGGCGAAATAGTCAATAACTGTGTTAACCATATTAGCCAATTCATCGAATCGGGAATTAGTGTTTATAGTTGAAAATTGTATACCAGTCAACGCACTTCCGTTGCGTTAAAACATGGCGGCTGCAAAACCTTGTAGTATTTTACATATACAATTTATTTTTTTTTATTCACGGATTTGAAAAGATTGTGAGCTTTGAATCCTAGTGCCTATGACCGTGTATAGTATGAATAAACAATCGATCACCCTGTCTGTTTGATAGCGGCATAATGAAGTGTGATTGAATGTGTAAAATTGCTGCGAAAGAAGGTCTCAAAAAAGGAAGGGAAATATTTTCTTGTTGCCAAATTTAATTAACATTCATTCAAAATTTGAGTAATTATAAATGTTTATTTTTACCTTCTTTTTAATGTTATAATTGTAACAATAACTGCCACTATGATAACAGCTACAACTGAAATGCTGACTGGGACACTGACGTCAGAACCTGTAAACAAATATATATGAAATAACCACGTACACCTCATGGCGAAGGAAAATATATACATTGAACGTACTCATAATTCTCATTTGGCAAATATGTCATTCAGATACATACATTATATAATATATTTATTCGTGTTTGTACAATGTGCAAGGTCCATTATGCACCAGAAATGCTTTTATTTTTATTTCTCAAACGTTTTTGTTTTATTTGTTTTTACTTTTTTTTTTGTGGCTTGTTAAATTTCAAAAAAGCTACCCATTGGGCAATAAACTGAACCATCTTTTGCTTCTGTTGCTTCGTTGCTTCTTGGAAATTAGTAAAGCTAGTATTTTGTATAGAAGTAAAAATTCTATCTTGTTTACATTTTGCTACTTTTATGAGAAAAAACTTTTACATTCAACGCATTTGTCTTCAGATGATAAGCACTGTACATATTTTATCAGTGTTCACTTACTTTCTGATATAATTGTCTCAGATATTGACTGCAAAGGTTCTGAACTATTCGTAATACCATCGTTCACTGAAGATGTGGAGGATGTATGAGCAGTGGTAATCGATGAAGATTTGATTGGTAATGATGAAGTATTTCTTGGTGTGGTACCATTATCTGCATTTGATAGTAGAAACGAATAATCACTGTAGTCATTTCCATCGTTCAAGTTATGTAAAGGTCTTTCAACGGTAAAACTATCGTTCACAATATATTACAAAACATATTATGTTTACGGAATTTACCATTATTGATAAGAAATAAGGATTTAAAATGACACGAAGAAACGTATTTCTAACGTTCAATAAATGTGCTGATGACTCTTTTAAAAATAAAAGTCAAATGCTAAGGAGCAGAGGGAGACAAACCAATTGATAAATAAATATTTCAATTTTACTATAATTATGCATATTTTAATAGTTCATTTACAGGCTATATTTCCAATTATTCACTTTAAATGATTGTTACATATTTGTGAATATTACCTAGTGGTAGTCTTGTAGTTTTGGTCGTTGATGTCTGTGTGGTTGATGTCCGTATTTGTTCACTGGTGGGATTTGTTACTGTCTCTGAATCTGAGATCATTTGACAAAACAATAAGAGGGAAAGCAGGTTAGTCATTATATTAAGTGAATCACCTACAAGGTCATTGTAAAAGGATAGCGGCATATGTATAGATCATAGCTTATACATCTTTTAATTTCATATACTCCCTTCAGAAATTGTGTCACCAAAACATTTTCCAAATGACTCATTAAAGCTAGGTTATGACAGATTTTATGATAATCATAATAACCGTTTTTTTTTTAGCTGCTGGTATTTTTTATTATTTAATCATTAAAATATCTAAAAAGTTTAAGAAGTATAAATATGGTTTCTTGATGATGCTGTTGCGAAACTAAAAATCAGGCTTAAGTTTTGCTGGCAAAGATATAACTGTCAATCACCAATTAATCGTGACGTATTTATAAGTCAGGTGAACAATTATTAAGTTTACATGCAGGTATGAATCAAAATGTTGATAACAAAGGCTGTGTAAACTAATGTGATATAGTGTCTACAATACCATTGATGTGATTGTTAGACATAAATTATTTGTATGGCTTTACTCAACTGTAATTTTGCAGCATTGTTATTATTCCACCTAATTGTGTTAACAATTATTGACGTCCTTTGTCTGTGAATATTATAATACAATATTCATCAGTTAAAACACTTTTTTATGAGTTGGGTCAAAAAGGGTTGAATTTAAAAACAGTGAAAAAACAAAATTGACACATTTCACAAAATTACCAAAGTATCACACACCGATGTAAAAAGAATATCCACATTTTAACTCACGCTACGCATTCGTAAAGATACTGCATTAAAATACTGCATTTTGCCCTCTGATCGGTGTGAAATTTAACATTTTCACACTCACAACAAACAAAATCCTCTTTGATTTCAATAAATAATTGTCAAAAAGATGGAATGAATGTACAGTCTTATGAATGTTTAGTCTATCGAACTCCTGTACATTGTATCTTACTAAAATAAGCGAACATTTGTGCCAAACATACATTCTACCGATAAAGCAATCGACAATTTGTATTTTATGGTTCAGAAGATCCAATGTACAAGAAAAATTTACAACCAATGAAAGCGTTATCAATTTCTCATTCATGTCTATATTTGTTCTACAATCACCATCATGAATATACAAAACTCAAATGTATAGTTGTATTGTTGTGTACAAGTAAAATTAAACTTACCTATTTGAAACAGATAGCGCTTGTTTGAACTAGTTTTATTGAAAAGTAAAAATGTAACGCTTCCACGTTTAGTAATATATCCATATTTCACACTGTTATCTTTACTGATTGCATTTGCTTTCTCTGAAATTAAACGAAATGATTTGGAAAATAATCATGTCGGTTATCTTTTATAATACATTATCTAAAATTTTAAGTTTATGATTCTCCATAGGTAAAAAAATAAATAAATATTGGGGTGAAATGGTACATTATTGAAATTATTTTGATAAATCAAAAATATAATCAAAATTATCTTGTGTTTACGACGTTTTATTTTCTTGTAACTGGTATAAAGGAAAAAAAAAGTTTGTTGATGATGTTGTATATTTTATAATACGTTGTACTATGGGCCTGATTCAAATTCATTCGAATGATATAGAACGTGTATTTTACTCGTATATATCTGTATGTATCTACAAGTTGCCAAGTATACATGTACACGTTTAGTGCTTAAAGCTTCAAAATATATTCATAAGTTTCCTACATAAACTAATGTAAATAAACCTATCCCTTGGGGATTTTTTACTTCTTTTATGTAATCGTAGTCCGTCAGGCATGGTTACTACCAAATATGTAATATCTTGGCAATTTCAAAATCAGATTTATGTGTAAACCATCATTTTTAAGTCTATGTACATTAAAAGGTTCAAAGGGATAGATAAATAAAACATTTTAAGTGAATTTCTTAGCTTTGTATTGCTGTTCCGATCAAAGAATCTTTCTTTTAATATTAATGTACATAACTTTGTGTGATTACCGAATGGTCTTGTGATTCTGAAGAAGATTTTTAAAAGATTATTTAAATATAACTCACCATTAAATTTATATATCACATCACTGCGTATAACATTTGTCGATTTTGGAGTTAAAGTTGGTGAATTAAATATGCCATGAAAGTTGATTGCAGAAAAATTGCTTACAAAACAAGTTTTCACATAATGCCTCCAAAAAAAGAACTGTGAACTTGCATGAAATACTGGCTCGAAAGACTCACCTGGAAAATTAAAATGACAAAAATTTTATTTGGTGAAACTTTGAAAATATAAAAACATATATATCTCTCAAATATGTTAGAGATATACATGTACTTTCTATTCTTTCTTTCTAATCATTTCTTTTAAAAAAATTAATGGCACCATTGTATTCACACTGTGATTAAAACGTGGCACACGTTCTTTGTGTGCATTGAAAGATGATTTATTTTTACATTTAGAAAGATACTCTACATGTATAGGGCAATAATTTTACAACTGTCTGCCGTATAAAAGTTCGATATGATATTCTTTCTCTCTACTTTTTCAGTTTTCAGGGACGCACTCTTCATATTTGTTTTAGCCTCTTTTTCGGGTTCAATTGATGAAGTTGTAACCAAATGATCATTTTGTGTCCGGGAACTTTGTTCGGCTATTTCACAGGCGTGATCGTGTTCTTCAGTTGGATGTTTCTTTTCAAAACAATTGGTGATTGTTGCATCCATCTCGTATCAATTGCGGTTAAGCAGATATCGTCTGGGCGCATACAATGTTAACATCGATTTATTGTAGTGTATTAGAAGCGTCTACGGATACGTCACGCGAATCGAAATTGAACGGAAAGGACAGTTTTAACAATAGATACGGACATATTATTTAGAGCTCGCGGAATTTTCGAGTCTCGCATTTTTCAATTACAACTCGCGTTTTTACGAATTAGCAAATGCCATATTCAATCCACGAGGAATAATCAGTATCTTCAAATGCCAGATTTAAGCATAATTTATTTTCAAGGGATATCTTCGAAAAACGAAGTGGTCGTATAGTAAAGATGTTTGATTATTAACTTCCCAATAATTATTAAAATCATTCTTTTAAAGTATTGGAATGATGTGTTACAATTTCTACAAGCATTCCGGGAAAAGAACGAGAGCTACATAGGAAATATTTGCAAGGAACCCGATCTGTGTTTATTACTATAAAATTGAAAGACATTACGAAAGATTAGCAAAGAACATTAGCGGTGATCCAATGTTGCCGAAAATAAATGTTACTGGATCATCCGCTATGGTAAATGATACTGAAAATGTGAATGCAACATTGGAATTTAATAAATAATTACATCCTTATCTCTATGTTATAATAATGTAGTTCAACTTCTCATACATCCACATAATTATCATGAAATAGGCAATAGCCCTATACTGCAGAATTTTCTTTTTAATTTAAGCAACATAGTTGCTCATTTATTTTCGCCGTCTTTGTGGAAAGTTGGGTCGGGGAACAATCCACCACTTCCACTCACAATATTATCTATCCCAAGTAAGGAACATACAAAGTTATGTTAAAAAATTATAGTGATTTCAACATAACAACTTCAAAGAAAACATACGTAATCATAAACACAATATATAATGTTGAAAAGAAAAAAAAACATTCCATATAGTATTCAAAATGGGTTTTTTATATAACATAAATTTTGTTTCACAAATCTTGATAAATATTTTCTAGTTAAAGCTAACTGCCATATTTCGCAAATTATATTATTTTTGACTGTACAAATTCATATATTTAGTGTATACATTCAATACTAGTGTATAACTAGCTTACAGATTTACACCCTTTATCCTTAATTATTATTGCCAGACTTTTTTATGCTCCCCTTTCATAAGGATATATGGCTTAAAGATTGTTCAGCACGACATTATTGTTGTGTTTGTGGTACTTCTAGTTCTTACTTTTTGGCATTTTTTAGTTGGGTAATTCAAATATTTTTCGCCTTATTTAGCACATATATTTATTGTACATTGGGAAAAGACTTCAATAAGCATTAGGTTGCTTCCAGTCTAATCCTTTTCTTGTTTTGATTGTAAATATCATGTATGTAAATATGCTTATGTGAGAAAGAATAAAATATGTTTAAACCAAATATTCCTGCTTGAATAATGTTGAATCACCCCTAGGATATGTTGCTTTCTTTTTAAATTTGTCTTCTGACGTCATATCTGTGATATGCAGGCTCCATAACTTCTGATCCCCTTTCAAAATTCCATTTTATTTAGTTCCGCCCATTGTTTTCTCGTTTAGGGCATACGCATTCTTTTACTTCGGGACCATACGCCGCTTTTCATGGAATGGCACGAAAGTGTCACATTGAAGGTTCCATGAAAACCGCCGTATGAACACACCTGCAGATGTTTTAAAATTCAAAATTTCACCATTACCATGATTAAATGTGAAATTCTGCTTAACCCGGTGCTAGGGAGCGTGAACGGTAACTTGAACTTTCCATTACCGTCCATGAACAGGCTCAATCAAACCGAGCCTGCAACATTTTCAATTTTGTCTTCTGTAGGGATTCTTTATTTCTCTCTATTTGTCTATTTGCATTTGTCTGTCATTCGGTCCGTCAGTCTATTGGTCCGTTGGTCCGTAGACCAAATGTTTTCCGAGTTATAGTTAGAGAACGTTTAGGCCTAGGATCTTTGACCTTGTATGTAAAAACGGTTTCCGATCAAAAACTTAAGAACGCTTACGCCTAGGAACTTCAAACTTGTTACGGTGATTGTTCATGACCTGCAGATGACCCCAGATGATTTTGGGGTCAAAGGTCAAGGTCACATTGACCTTGAAGGTAAAAACGGTTTCCGATCAATAACTACAGAATGTTTAGGCCTAGAAACTTCAAACTTAGTACGGTGATTGTTCATGACTAGCACATGACCTTTAAAGATTTTGGGTCAAGGGGTCAAATGTCAAGGTCACATTGACCTCATAGGTAAAATCCTTTTCCGATGTAAACTAAAGAACGCTTAGGCATAGGAACTTCAAACTTGGAACGGTGATTGTTCATGATCAGCATATGGCCCCTACTGATTTTGGAGTCAATGGGTCAAAGGTCACGTTGACCTTATAGGTAAAACGGTTTTAAATCAATAACTAAAGAACGCTTATGCCTAGAAACTTAAAACTTGGTATAGTGATTTTTAATTAGTAGCAGATGACCCCTTTTAATTTCGTGGTCAAGGGGTCAAAGGTCAAGATCACATTAACCTTGTAGGTAAAAACGGTTTCCAATCAATAACCGGACAACCCATAAGCTGTTGGCCTTCAAACTTCGCAGCTGCATAAAACTTGACCAGTAGATGACCCCTATTGACTTTGGGGTTAAAAGGTCAAAGGTCAAGGTCAAAATGACCTTGTATGAAGAAACCGTTTCCGATCAATAACTTGACAATCTATCGGTTGTTGGCCCTCGAACTTTGTAGGTGCATTGGTCTTGGCAAGAAGATGACCCCTATTGATCTTGGGGTCAGGGGATCTCAGGTCAAGGTCGTATTGACCTTGTATGTCAAAACGGTTTTCTATCAATAACTGAACAACCCATGGACCCTTGGCCTTCAAGCTTTACAAATGCATTACTTTTGGTCAGAAGATAACCTCAGTGGAATTTGGGGTTAAAGGTCAGAGGTCAATTTCACACAGATGCATTGGTCTTGGCCAGTAAATAACCCCTATCGGTTTTAGGGGCAAAAGTTAATGTCATTTTGACATTGTATGTAAAGACGGTCTTTGATCAATAACTTTACAACTCAAGTTGCCTTGGTTGAATTTTTTTATTAAATAAAAACTGCTTTTGGTATACACATTTCAAGGCCACATGTAATATAACAACTTGGCTGTCATTAATGTGGCCTACATGATTCATAAAATTTATGCATATGTTATTTGGTAAGATATGTGATATTTTTGTCTAAAAATTGCTGCACGCATCCATTGCCGTCACAATTACCTTTTTTTTAGTCAGACTTTGCAGAATATAGTAACTTAATATTCTAGCAATTGTCGGACATTATTTACTTCAAGGAATTCATTTACAGCTGTTAACATACCTCTATATGGTTTACTGGTTATAACTTTAGAGACAGAACATAATACATGTAGCTATATAGGGCATCTCTCCAGAATGGATTAATATCTAAATGGAGAATTGTTTTAATATAATCAGACCCATACTTAGAGATATAGTTTACATACGGACATAAACTATCCACTAACAATCTGAATTTGTTATTTAAACCGGAAAGCCTTCTTTCTAAGGAAATATTTTGAATCTATCATTTTTAATCTTTCAAACTTGTAGTCATGGGTAATATTCCTTTTGGCAGAATTATTCAATATCAATTTGAGGAAAATGTTCAGTATGGTATTAATTTTGGCCAAGAGTAGAGTTGGTAATAAAACTAAAAAATAAATGATTTAATTTTGCAAAAGCAAGATTTCATAACAACCAGCTTTCCCATTTGGAATACTACTCTTTTAAACCAGCTCGCAAATAATCTCTTGATTTCTTCAATTTTTAAGTCAAAGTTGTATAATTTCAGTTTAATGTGTAGTAAATTTAACATCTAAAACTGTAAAAACTTTGTTTCACGACATATTATAATCTGTTCAAAGAATAATATATCCTTTTTTCAGATCCAAACCAAATCACTTTTGTTCTGTCTACATTAATATTAAGGCCAGAGATTCTAAAATAAAATGTTAATGTTTATTAACAGTGTGTTCTTAAGAGATTTTCTTGTACCATTCAAAAACAAACTAGTGTCATCATATTGGAAAATCTTTTCCACAGATTGTTATACCCTAAAGGGCCTTAATATTTTTATTGTTTCTGATCCTGACTGAAAGAATTTCAGCACATAGAATGAACAGGTAAGGCGATAGAGCATCTCTGTAATAAGAACAATTCAGACATATGTCCATTTACAATGGCACAGGATTCAATATTGGTATAAAACGTTTAATTCAGGTTTTTTGATAGAATTGCAACAATTGAAAAAGTCTAAATCTTGGTACATAAAGTTCCAGGAGACAGTATCAAATGCCGCAGCAAAGTCAATTAAAAGTTATAAACCAGACATATTATTTTTTCTGTGTAAAAAAGCAGATTATATAACATTCTAATATTTGCCATTAGTCGTCTGCCCAGTAAGAATCCAGTTTGGTCTTCATTTATAATATTAACTGGAAAAAAATTAATCCGAAAAGCGATGGAGGCAAGGCATTCTTATCAGCAACATTTAGTAAACAAGTTAATCTCCAACTTTTTAAAGTAAAGTTTCTCTTAATTAATTTTGGGTAAACAGGTTATGACTCTATGTTTCTGTGTAATTGATAATTCTCCTATTGAGAATGCATAATTTATTGACCTTACTAAAAATGTACAAAAAAATCATTAAAAAAATTCCGCTGTGAAACCAATTTTTTCAGGACTAGTATTATTAGACATACGTTTTTATGAACTTAACATTTCCGTATATATCAGAGCTCCCTCAATTTCTGTTATTTTAGGAACATTTAAAATCACTTAGTGTTTCATTTAAAGATGTATTTTCAGTTTCTTTCACTTTGTATAAATGTTCATAGTGTAGTTTTGTTTCAGCAAGAATATTATCTTGTGTTTTAAAATTTCACCTATTATAGATTAAAGTACCCATAAATTTGAAACATAATTTCTGTTTCCGAGATTGCAAAAGTAACGAGTAAGTTTTTTTTCCTTCATGTATCCATTTAGCTTTGGATCGAATGAAAATTCAATCCATCCATCCATTTTTTCTGTCTTAAATCAGCAAGCTATCTTTCTTTACTTTTTAATAGTTCATAGTTTATATTTGTTTCTTTTTCAAAAAATTGATTTCTTTTAAAAGTTTTTCCTCTTTATTTATTTCTGTTTTTTTTTTTTCTTATGTGAAGCATAACTTATTGTTTTTTCTTCTAATATTTAACAGCAAGGTCTAAAAACCTGATTATTAACATTACATCTTGTTTCTTAAAGAGGCATATTTTCTATATCTGATACATCTACTGAATACTGTAGTTTTGTGTAGGTTTTGTTGTTGTTGTTGTTGTTTTTCTCACTTCATTTAGTATGTAATTTTCTTCTCTTAGGAGGGAATTATAAACTTTCCAGTAAGACCGTATTTATCAGAATTTGCAATCTAAAAACACAATTTGTTATCATGGCAATGTTACCTTTAATTCTAAATGTTTATAAATGACCAAGAAAAATGTCTGAAAACAGAAAAGCATAGAAAAGAAAACGTCAATAGATTGAAATCATATAGCTTTTATATGAAAGATAATAGATATTGCTTACCATTTTTGCATAGTTTCTGATCAGCTTCATCACATTCAGCCCAAAAGACTTCTTTATTCTGTTGAAAAACAAGACATTTGCCGCTATTCTGTATTGCAACATTTATATCTAAAAAGAAAATTACAATAACTACATAATTTATGACAATGTAGTCCATAAGTAACAGAACCAAAATAGAGAAAAACAGAATCACTAAAGAACGACAAAACGAAAAAAATGATAATGTAGCAGACTCATTCAAACCAAGCCTGTTTATTGACTATACTGGAGCATTCAAGTTACCTTTAATTTTAAACGTTTATAAATGATCAAGAAAAATATCTGAAAACAGAGTAGCATAGAAAAGAAAACGTAAATTGATTAAAGTCGTTTAAAAAATCGTTAAAAGTGATTAATAAACACTTCCTAGTACCGATCAAGCTAAATTTAACATTTAATTAGAAAAATGGGGACATTTTGACTTCAGAAACATCCACAGATGTGTTCATAGGAATCAATGTGAAACTTTCGTGCCAGTGTGGCACAAATTCGATGTTTTGTTGCAAGTAAGTGTTTGTTGTTACTGTTTTTTCTTCAAATATTGCTTATGTTATAAACACTATATATGTAGAAACAATTAATCATGATAGAGAAAACAATGTGCAGCCCTTACATTTACTTAAAAAACAAAGAATAACGCACTAACAAAAAATCAGTTTCAGAAAAAAATGAACAGTAACAAAATAAAAACAAAGGATATTATTTTATAATATATGAATATACAATTATTCGAATTATCAAGTACCCGTTTCAATCGCTCTATAAATTGACATATATTCCTTTCCACCCGCAATCCAATTTCCATCATAAGAAATATCACATTCAGGAAATTTTATCTCATCGTTTAGTATTACACTCAGACAAAAGCACTGCAATAACATGGAAAAAAGAAATTACAAAGAATCTTTCATAATACTGGCTCACCAGAAACAACTGCTCTTTAGTGTTGGAAAATATCCAAGTTCAATATTTTCTTATATTGAATTTGAGCACAGAATATGTTTAAACAATAATTTGAAGAAATGCCATATCCCTTCAGCTTAAATGGAGCCAATCAAATTAATATGAGCAAACTTGATAAAATACTACCCAAGAATGCTACAGACAAAGTTTGGTGATCATGTTTAAAGATTTTTTTCTATTTTAAGCTCTGTTGACTCCTGAAAGGGGGCAATAGAAATGACATGAGTAAATTTAATTGTGACTGTCATAAGGATGCTACAGACCAAATTTGAAGTAAATATGTCCAGCAGTTTCAGAGAAAAAGGCGATTGTTGACGCACGACGACGGACACCGGAGCACCCCCTTTGATACTAATAGCTCACTCTGAACCTTCGGTTCTGGTGAGATAAAAAGCAACCAAACAAATATTATCATCATAATAAAACGAAAAACCAATATACTCTTCAAAAAATAATTTCATTTTTACAAAGGCAAATCCATGTTTAGATTGATATATCATCGGCTGTCCTAAATTTGTTCATGTCCTAGAGTTTTAACTGAAAGGATATTTAAATAATCTGACAATTTTTTTCAACATAGAACGCTTGAACATTAGAAAAAAAGTGTCAATTATCACTGTTTAAATGCTTAAGGTTACGAATAATGGCCGCCTGCCGATACTTCTGATATATTTTGTATGTTTTTTAAAGAGCCTACCGTGCCATTATTTAATCCAATATGATTGTAATCATATTGTTTGCACACTGAAAAGCAGTTGCCTGGGGAATTCCTCTTTAATGTCAACCAGACCTTTGGTTCTGTATTTGTCAAACGACCACATCCTGAAATGAGTTTTATTTTATGTTTGAATTTTACAACTGAGATAACCTGTTGTATAACTATGGACAAACACAGGTAAAAAAGGTTTCTATGAAATTTAATCATGTTTGTTATTACAATTTTTGCAATAACAAACTGACCTGAGCCGTCTTTCAATTCTGATAAATTTTGTTAGCACCAATGAAATTATACTTCTATCTAGTATGTTCGTATTAAAGTTAAACCCAAGTTACACACATCCATTAGTAGGGTTACTCGTTAGGGTCATTTCGACATGCATATGACTTGAAACAACAAATGATGAAAAGCCAGAAGTACGATGATGAAATAACGAAAGCAGGATGATGAAAACGTGATATAATTTCGTGTTTCCAACATCGCACTTTCGATCTTACTCTACAATGGTTTCGTTATTTCAATATTTTATCATCGCGGTTCCGGCTTTTCACCATCGTGGTGTGCGTTTTTACTTTTCACTTTCGAAATTTTTATCACCGTGGTCTCCACTTTTGACCTTTATACTTTCGACTTTTCATCGTCGTTCTTTCGGTCTTACACTGTCGTAGTATTTTCTTCCTGTTTTGCATGTGCACATAGATCATAACTTTTGATTGCGATTTTAGAAAATATTTCATTTTTATTAAGGATACAATGGATCATGATGTTAGCATATGTTAAGTATATTCTGCGTTTTGCGTAATTTAAAAAAAAAAAAAAAAAAAAAAAAAAAAAAAAAAAAAACTACCAGTTACATCTTTCCAATGATTGTCATATGGGAATAACTGTGATGAAAACTCGAAGTAAAGATGGTGAAAAGTGGAACCCAAGATGATGAAAATCGAAAGTACGATGGTGAAATGTCGGATAAAAGAAACAGAGCAATCACTATGGTAAAAGGTTGAAAGTATGATGATAAAAACACGAAATTATATCAAGTTTTCAATATCATGGTAACGTTATTCCAACTTTGCACCATTGTATTTTCGTTGTTTCAAGCTATGTGTGTGTTACGATGAGAAAATGGGACTGTCAAAATAACCATTTTAGTCAGAAAAAAGAAACATAAATTTCTGCCATTTTGTTTTATTTTTTGTGTGCCCACCGATCTGTTAATTTCATCACAATTTTGTTTGGTAAACTTTATTTAACGTCATTATGACGTCATAACGTCATATCATCAACTTCCATGACTACGTCAGTGTTGTTATAATTAAGTTACTTTGTTGATTGTGAACAAACATTAAAGTGAAATATATTTATTTGGTGTTGGCTCAGCATTAATACGGTGTTTGATTTTATACGGTCAAATGACAGGACCAAATAAGAAGTAAGTCTTGAAAACGGTCGGCTTTCTAGTGAAGAGTTGAGCCTTCACAACGAAAAAAAGGCACTCTTAGAAAGGTCCTCTACCCTTGAAAGAAGCAAGTCTTAGCGATGTCCACTTCCAAGCAAAGAAGGTCCGCTTCATAGAAAGGAAGCAAGTCCAAGAATCGCAGCAAGTCTAAGAAGCATAGCTAGTCTAAAATTGCAGTAAGTCTAATACTGCCGCAAGTATTATACTGCAGCAAGTCCAACTGGCGCAGCAAGTCTAATTAGCGAAGCAAAACCAAGGAGTCGAGCAATTCACAAGTTCCGCTCGGAATATCAACTAAAATCAAGTGAAATTTGACAGAGACACATTACTTCGGTGATTGATCGGTAGCTTTTTAGCCAAATTGTTGAATGAACCGATAAAAATGTATTGAACACCGATATCGCTTACTGGTAAACTGCAATCTACCTTTTTACGTCTACTGGGGAAGATAGGTTTTATTGATGATAAATTATAAATTAGGATTTTTAAATTTATGTGAAAGTTAGCAGTGAACAGTGGGCTAAGCAAAAACGCATTACAATTTATGTAAAGAATTCAATTATCTTATGGAATACTTAGCTTATTTGGCGATCTAACGGGGCATTCCTAAATATAGTGTAAAATATGATCTGCTGGAGTGCTAAGCTGCCTTGGCAACCTGTCAGGGTATTCCAAAATATAGTGTATAAAATGCTTCGCTGTAATGCTCGGTTACCTAAGCAATCTAGCGGGGCTTTCTTAGATATAATACAAAATTGATCTGCTGAAATGCCGAGCTGGCAGATTAATCTTGCGGGGCATTTATAAAAATAATGTTATAAATTTTCTATTGGAATGACGAGCTCGCAGAGCAATCTAGCGGGACATTCCTAAAATTTTGTAAAAAGATCCTTAGCTTGAATGCTCAGTCCAGCTAGGCATTCTGAAATATAGAGTTAAAATGCTCTGCTACAATGCCCAGCTGACAGAACAAAATAACGGGGCATTCTTTTATAAAGTATAAAAATGGTTTGCTAGAAAGCTCTGCTGATCTTTGAAAAAAGATGAGATGGAATGGTCAGATGGCTAGGGAATCTAGCCAGGCATTTCTAAATATAGTGTAAAATGCTCTACTGGGAAGGCAATTTAGCAGGGCATTCCTTATTATAGTGCACGAAATACTCTGCACAATGATCAGCTAGCAAAGCAATCTTTCAGGGAGTTTGATTGGCAATGGAGATAATTTTTGAAGGGACCCTCAAAAATCTACTTCTGTGGACTACAACTCATTCTTGAACACTCGCAGACTTTCAGAAATTGTCGGTGCAAATGATGATAATGACATTTTTTTTCTAGGGACCGTCCAGAGTCCGTTTCGTTCGCGTGCGACTGATTCTGTGGCACTCGCAATTGCATTCTTCGAGGAATTTGGGGTGGCAATGGAGATAATGACATTTTTTTACTTCTAGGACCATCCAGAGTTTATTTGATCTGCAACTACTTCCCGGACACTCGCAGACTTTCAGGAATTTTTGGTGTCAATGAAGATAATGACATTTTTATTTGGACCCTCCACATTCCGTTTTTTTCGTGTGCAACTGATTTTTGTCATTAGAACTCTTGAGGGTCCCTAAAAGTAGAAAGTGTCAAAAAGTTTGCGAGTGCGCAAGAATCAGTCACAGACCAACAAAATGGACTCTGATTGACCCTTAGAGGTTAAAAATGTAATTATCTGCAATGGCTTTAAATATTCCTGAAACTCTGCTTGTGTCCCAGAGTAAGTCGCAAACCAACGAAATGAACGCTTGAGGGTCAATAGTAGTTTAAATATCATTTTCTCCGTTGCCACCTAAAATTTCTTAAAGTTTGCAAGTGCTCATTCGCAGACCATTGAGATGGACTTAGAGGGGTTCCTAGACGTTTAATAATGTCATTATCTGCATTGGCACTAACTATTTTTGAAAGTCTACGAGGGCCTAAGAATCAGTCGCTGACAAACGAAATGCACGTCTTGGGAATAGCTAGAGCCCAAAATATGTTATAAATCCATTTTTGTCTTTAGAACCCTTGAGGGTCCCTAGAAGTAGAAAATGTCAGTCAAAAAGTTTGTGAGTGCACCAGAATCAGTCGCAGACCAACAAAATGGACTCTGATTGATCCTTAGAGGTTAAAAATGTAATTATCTGCAATGGCCTTAAATATTCCTGAAACTCTGCTTGTGTCCCAGAGTAAGTCGCAAACCAACGAAATGAACGCTTGAGGGTCAAAATTAGTTAAAATATCATTTTCTCCGTTGCCACCTAAAATTTCTTAAAGTTTGCAAGTGCCCATTCGCAGATCATTGAGATGGACTAAGGGGGGGTCCCTAGACGTTTAATAATGTCATTATCTGCATTGGCACTAAATATTTCTGAAAGTCTACGAGGGCCTAAGAATCAGTCGCTGACAAACGAAATGCACGTCTGGGGAATAACTAGAGCCCAAAATATGTTATAAATCCATTTATTCCAAAATTCTTTAAATAGAGAGAAATAAAGAATCCCTAAAAAACGTACTAAACGATAAAATCAAACAAGAGGGTCATGATGGCCCTGAGTCGCTCACCATAAACAACTGCTTTTCAGTGTTGGAATGTCAATATATTCTAATATTAAATTTGAGCATAGAATATGTTTAAACAATAATTTGAAGAAATGCCATGACCTGGGGTATTTAGGCTTTAACTTAAACGGGGCTAATCAAATTAATATAAGCGAACTTGATAAAGAGTACCCAAGAATGCTACAAGCAGAGTTTGGTGATCATCCATCAATTGGTTCTGAAGAAGAAGCTGTTTAAAGGTTTTTCTATTTTTAGCTTTAGCAGCCCCTAAAAGGGGCCAATCAAATTAATATGAGCAAACTTGATAAAAGATTACCCAAAAATCCTACGACAAAGTTTGGTGATCATCCATGAATAAGTTCTGTAGGAGATGTTCAAACGCATTTCTATTTTTAATTTAAGCGGCTCCTAAAAGGGGCTTATCAAATTAATATGAGCAAACTTAATAAAAGACTACCCAAGAATGCTACAGGCAATTAAAGTTTGGTGATCATTCATCAATTAGTTCTGTAGCAAAAGACGTTTAAATGTATATCTATTTTCAATTTTGGCGGCCACTAAAAGGGACCAATGAAAAAAATATGCGCAAACTTGATAAAAGACTACCCAACAATGCTTCAGAAATGCTTCAGACAAAGTTTGGTGATCATCCATCCATTAGTTCTTTAGAAATAGACATAAAGGTAATTCTATTTTTAGATTTTGCGGCCCCTAAAAGTGGCCAATCAAATAAATATGAGCAAACTTGATAAAACACTACCCAAGAATGCTACAGGCAAAGTTTAATGATCATCCATCAATTAGTTCGGTAGGAGAAGATGTTTAAAGCTTTTTCTATTTTTAGTTCTAGAGACCCCTAAAAGGGGCCACTCAAAATAATATTAACAAACTTGATAAAAGACTACCCAAGAATGCTACAGACAAAGTTTGGTGATCATCTATCAATTAGTTCTGTAGAAATAGACGTTAAAAGGTTTTTCTATTTTTAGCTTTAGCGGCCCCTAAAAGGGGCCAATCAAATTCATATGAGCAAACTTGATAAAAGACTGCCTAAGAATGCTACAGACAAATAATATTATGATAAACAAGATCAACAAGAAAAGGCGGCGTTCAATGAACGCAACCCCCATATGACACAGCAACAAGAACCAATGGCTGGTATTACCAAAGTTTGGTAATAATCCATCCATTAGTTCTTTAGATGAAGACGTTTAAAGGTTTTCCTATTTTTAGACATAGAAACCCCTAAAAGGGGCCAATCAAACAAATATGAGCAAACTTGATAAAAGACTACCAAAGAATGCTACAGACTGGGTTTGGTGATCATAAATCCATTAGTTCTGTAGAAGATGTTTGAAGGTTATTCTATTTTTAGCTCTGCTGACCCCTAAAAGGGGCCAATTGGAATAACATGACCAAATTCAAGTGTGACTGTCACAAGGATGCTACAGACCAAATTTGAAGTAAATCTGCTTAGTAGTTTCAGAGACGAATACGATTGTTGACGCATGACGACGGACGATTGACGCCGGAGCATCCCCCTTTGATACTAATAGCTCACCCTGAGTCTTCGTCTCTTGTGAGCTAAAAATGTTGTAGACTCGGTTTGTTTGAGTCTGTTCATGGACGGTAATGCAAGTTACCGTCCAAACCCCTTAGCACAGGCTTAAACAGTATTCAACATTTAACATGAACTAGTAAAATTTGGACTTTGAAACACCCACGGATGTGTTTATATGGCGGTTATCATGAAACCTTCAATGCGGCACGTTCCATTCCATGAAAAGCGGCATAATTATGGCCCAGCAGAGCATTTTTACAGTATATTTTAGGAATGTACCGCTATATTGCTCTGCCAGCTGAGTAATTAGGAATACCCTAGTAAAGTGTTCAGTCAGATCAACATTCTAGCAGAACATTTTACACTTTAAGAAAGGAATGCCCTGCTAGAATGCTCTGTCAGCTAAGCATTCCAGCAGAGCATTTAACACCCTAATTTAGAATGACCCGCTTTATTGCTCTACTAGCTGAGCATTCTATTCGGGCTTGTTTACTCTATATTTCAGAGAGTGCTAGATTGTTAGATTCTTCTGCCAGCTCGGCAGCAATTTTAAAGAATGCCCTGCTAGATTACGTAGCCAGCTGAGCATTCTACTAGAGCATCTGTACACTATATATAGGAATGCTCTGATAGATTTTGCAGCCAGCTCAGCATTCCGGCAGAGTTTTTTATGTTTTATTTCAGAATACTCTTCTAAACTGCTTAGCCAGCTGAGCATTCCCGCAGAGCATTTTTCGAATTTCAAAACTTTAAAAATGCCTTGCTAGATGTCTTAGCCACCTCAGCTTAGCAGCTGTGCATACCAGCTGAGAATTTTTATACTATTTTCAGAATGCTTTGCCAGACTGCCTAGAAAGCTGAGCTTTATAACACTATTTTTTTTTGGAATCCCCAACTGCTTTGTTCTGCCAGTTCGGCATTGCAGTAGAGCATTTTTACACTATATTTAGGAATCCCCTGCGTTATTGCCTAGCCAGCTTAGCATACCAGCAAATAATTTTTACACTATATTTAGGAATGCACTGTTTAATTGCCTAGCCAACTGAGCATTCCAGCAAAACATTTTAAACAATTGTTTTGAATGTCCCACTGTATTGCCTTGCCACCTGAGCATTTTATAGATTTTTGTGTCGCCTCTACGGAGTAGTGGCGACATATAGGGATCACTTCTCCGTTGTCTGTCTGTCCGTCTGTCTGTCTGTCCCTCCGTCCGTCACAAAACTTGTCCGGACTACCCCTCATAAACTACTGGTGCAATTTCATCCAAACTTTACAGGAATGATCAGTACCAAGTCTAGTTGTGCATATTGTCAGCATTTTCCGGTTCAATGATTTTTGTCAGAGTTATGGCCCTTTAATAATTTTTATTTTTAAAGTTTGTCCGGACTAGTTCTCTTATACTACTAATGCAATTTCAATGAAACTTTACAGGATTGATCTGTAGCTCAATGCCTTGCGCATATTGCATGGGTTTTCCGGTTGAATGATTTTTGGCCGAGTTATGGCCCTTTGAAAAAAAGGTTTTTTTTTTTCTGTGTGTTGCCAGATACACAAAAGCTTGTCCGGACTCCTCCTCATAAACTACTGGTGCAATTTCATCCAAACTTTACAGGAATGATCAGTACCAAGTTTAGTTGTGCATATTGTCAGCATTTTCCGGTTTAATGATTTTTGTCAGAGTTATGGCCCTTTGATAATTTTTATTTTTAAAGTTTGTCCGGACTAGTTCTCTTATACCACTTATGCAATTTCATTGAAACTTTACAGGATTGATCTGTAGCTCAAGTCCTTGCGCATATTGCACGGGTTTTCCGGTTGAATGATTTTTGGCCGAGTTATGGCCCTTTGATAAAAAGGTGTTTTTTTCTGTGTGTTGCCAGATACGCAAAAGCTTGTCCGGACTACTCCTCATAAGCTACTGGTGCAATTTTATCCAAGCTTTACATGAATGATCAGTACCAAGTCTTGTTGTGCACTGTCCGTCTGTCTGTCCGTCTGTCTGTCCGTCTGTCACAAAATTTGTCCCAACATGAAATTGGCCATTATGAGGCGACACATGTGATTACTGATCGCTCTTGTTTCCTCTATATTTAAGAATGCAATGCCAGATTGCTCTGCCAACTGAGCATGTTTACTAAATATTTTGGAATGTCCCGCTAGATTGCTTAATAAGCTGAGATAATAAAGTTTTCCTCGCTATGTTGCTCTGTAGGCTAAGCATTCTAGTAGCGCATTTTTACCCTATATTTTAGAATGCTCTGCTGGACTGCTTAGCTTCCTTTAGGAATGTACTGTTAGATTGCTCTGCCACCGGCATTCCATCAAAAAATCTATAACGCCCTATTAACAAATGACCCGAGAGATTGCTCTGTCAGCTCGGTTTTTAGCAGAGCAATTTTATTCTATATTTGAGAATGTCTTGCTTAGCCAGCAGAGCATTTTTACACTTAATTTAGGAATGCCTTGCTAAATAGCCAAGACAGCTGAGTATTCCACTTCGGCACTTAAACACTATATTTTGGAATGCCTCGCAGCTGAGCATCTCAAGAGAGCATTTTTACACTAATTTTAGGAATGCCTTGGTAGATAGCCAAGACAGCTTAGTATTTCGTCACTATATTTTGAAAATCCCCTGCTAGATTGCTTCGCCAGCTTAGCATTATAGCAGATCATTGATTTTTATTTAAATAAAATGCCTTTTTGCTTAACTCACTTTTCATTGCTAACTTCTCACATTTTTTTAAATTGTTTGAAGATTCCCGATTTGCGGATATGTTATCAAATAATCGATTCTACGACCAATACGATATCACCGTTGGGCCACCGATAAGCAACCGATCAAGTTATACATATCACCAAACACTCCAGTTACACAGAGCCATCGGTGTTTGATCGGTAGTTTTTTAGCCAAATTATGGAGTAAACCGAAGGCAACGAATTTAACACCGATATCACCTATTGGTCACCTGTTTTCCAACTTTCAACTGCTATTGGGGAAAGATAAGTTTTATCGGTGAAAAATTACCGATTGGGGTTTTTAAACATTCTCGATCGGTGAAAATATTTTACAAATAACCGAAAGCAACCTTTATCACGAGATATGCAAGCTCTTAATCACCGATATCGCCAATCGGAAAAAAGACAACCAAATATGAATCACCGGCCATATCTGACGGAAAGTGTTTTCACAAAAAAAAAAACAGAAATAAAATCACGCATGACAACTGACCATAACAGCGAGTAAATTCAAAATTAAATGACCAATTGGGGTTCAAACGTCTGTGTGAGTTTGGCCCTCTTAGACTTAAGGAGGGTAATTAAAATGTCGTCTTTAGTCAGTTTTTAAGGTGGTTAATAATAATCCTTTTTGTGATCATCGTGTTATCATTGGTTTAAATGAATATGAAATATTATTTGTGCTTACCAATGTATTCAAATGCTGTCTCTTTCTTGAAATAACCAACCCAAGCGTCTTCATTTTGATTCAAGTCAGTTGTTATATTTACTTTAAATGATGAATTATCCACTTGTATGACTGGTGTTGCAAAATTCATTTTATTTTTTGCGTCATCCCACGAGAAAGTTTCGTTCGACAGGAAATAATTTGCTGAAACTGCCAAATATGTCATGTGAAAATAGTATCTCTAACATTTTCATGTATTACTTAATGTGAATAAGTTTAATTGTATATATTTAATTGCATGACTATAAACGTATGTTCATCTTTTACATAGTCTTCGGGTGTACATTTTGCAATATATATATATATATATGAAAGGAGTAAAGCGTTAATAAGCAAAACATATAAAACATTTCAAAAGGTATACAATCACAATGTTTTCATAGTCTTCTGGCATATCTTATTATTTCACAAACATAAGTCTAACAAATAGGAAGCCTCACAAAACTACTTTTTATCAGGTTTAACCATGATTTTGCGCATTTCCCGTTTTATCGTAGACAAACAAATATTATTCTTTCAATTAAGATCCACAGACAGTTATTCTACTGAATGTCACTCACATATGCAAAGAAGAACACGACTCACAAAACCTCAAGTCAAATAAGCAGCATATGTCATCTCGATTTGAATATATTCTTAAAAAATATATATATTTGCATTACGAGCAGCTTAATTTTACAGTTTATCATAATTATGAATAATGAATTTAAATGAATCATTATACAAACGCGTCCTTCATTGATATACATGTTAAAGAAATTTTATGACAGTACTTTATTTTGGTAGTTGTTTATTTTCTTTGTTTGTCATGTTATTAAATGAATTACTAAAAATATATTTCCAAAAAAGCAGTTATTGTATCATTGTAAATAGGAAACTTAACAAGAACATAACTTCATTGTATGGCATAAAATGCAAAGTCGCTGATTTTGGTAATTTTCAACATACCAAAAATAAGTCTTCACACTTCTTTCAATTAGGAATTATTCGAAAAAAAATTCGACATACAAAAATCTTTTAACACATAGTTTATGAGAAATTGTTTGAAGTAGGATTAAACATACTGGAATAAGTCTAAAAACTTAGTCTATGACGAGATATTTGAAGATGAGTTCAATATACCGAAAAGAATCTTAGGACATAGTTTATAGTTAATAGTTTTTAAGGATTTAACAGAAAATGCAACATACAGAAAAAAGGTCACAACACATAGTTAATGTGAAAGAAAACTAGGAAAAGACATATCCTTCCGTTTAATATGTTTTTGAATAACATTTTCACATCTAATTCAAATTACAACCTGATGTTTATCAGACTAAATGTAATTTTAAACAAGAGTATATTACCCATTTGAAAAAATGAGACGTGCCATGATAATTTAAGTGTCTAACATACAAATGTATGTAGAACTTCTACCCGTTCTCTGTTTAGATCTAGTTTAATTGTATTTTCTTGTTGCAACAATTCGGTAATTAATTTAAGCTTACAAAATTTTATATAAAGATTATTGAAATTATATATTACCATTAGCAGCCGTAATCCAAAGAAACATCCAACACACTCGTAATGTCCGCGACATTTTAAAACAAAACTTATTAAAATATCTACACAACCATACTCTGACTGCGTTCTTCGTCTTTTAAATGATTAGATAAAAATGTTTTCAAAACAGGTAATGATACGCTAAAACAAGGAAGTGAATAGTTTAAAAACAGTCGAAATAAATACCCCGACTGCTTTATCTGTACCCTCACGATAACAAAATATTTCAGTCGGCAATTACATGTACGTATAGTTGTTTTACTACATTTAAAATTGGTCAAAAACAGTGTGTAAAACTGTCGATTTACTAGACTGATTATGGTTAGCCGATTTACTATTGTAATGTTTTTTTCTTTTTCATGAAACTCGTCATAGTGAATGTGTACAAAATAATGATAAATGATAATTATTATATATGATTGTTTATTGTAATTGTCCCCATATCCATGATTCCACATCCCGCCATTTAAATACGTTAGCGCCTAATACTCTTTTTTAATATGCTTGTACATTGTATTTGAATACCCGTTATTTAATCAAGATTATGTTCGGTGAATTTAAAATAAAACGTGCTACTCGGATGGATATAAAGATTTCTCTTATAAAATATTGTACATGAATCGATGTTGACAGCTCTTGCCAAACTTTTCCATTGACTGATTTATTTAATATCAATATTGAATTCATGAAGCATGAACTATTTCTTTATTACACTATAAAATGTTTATACACTGATAAGACGTTTTCACATGAGGAAGTAAACTATAGATCTCTTTGAAAAAAACTAGTGCCACTTAATATGAAGTGTATGTGTGTAGCCAACAGTGTGCTTAATAAGCACTCACCTGATAAGGCTCAAAAAGCAGCTTTCGTTGTAGAGTACCCCGTCAATGTCCCCAGTCATACTCTTAAATGATTGTTTTAATCACGAAATTGTGTGTTTTTAACTCCACGCAATTTTCAATGTATAAGCCCGTGAAATGAACCTTTAGCCGAAAAAACGTTACTGTACAACGGTCAGTGAGCACCTAAATGCACAGTAACTAGTGACAATAATGAAGTTAAAAGAAAGTTAGCCTTGAAGAGGGCCTGTTTGTGCCAGCATAGGGTGCTGCCGTTCAAGTCGTCTCGAAAAAGGGGCTTATGCACCCTAGTAACCTTCCGCGTCGCCTCTGCCACATTTTAGGACCACTCCATTCGGCTTCAGACACACAATGTACTACAAATTAGGAAGTGAATAACAGGGAAAGAGGAAAAAATAGCCGTTCGTAATTAGAATTAAATGAAAATAAACTTGATATCAATTTCAATCAGTCGTTCATTTTGAAAAGTTGTTTAATTGTATTTAAGCGACATTGTTGGCAAAAATGTATCAGTTAAAAGTGACAAAGTATTTGATAAAATGTCAATGCATATACATGTAAGATTGAAATTAAATTATGGTCTTACGTTCTTTAAACTCGGGGGGTGGGGTGTCCGTTGCCGAGTGGTTATGGTCGTTGACTTCAAACCACTTGCCCCCTACCGCTGTGGGTTTGAATCCAGACAGGGACTTAGGATTCTTTCATGTGAGGAAGCTATCCAGTAAGCTTACGAAACTTTTGTGGTTCTACTCAGGTGCCCGTTCGTGCCTGAAAAAATGCACAGAGGGGCACCTGAGGTCTTCCTCCACCAGTTAAGTTGGAACGTCGCAATATGACCTATACTGTGTTGGTGAGACGTAAAATCCGATCAAACAAACAAACAAACAAAATCTTTAAACTCGTCACAGTGAATACTCTTCAAATATGATAATATTCTTCATTATATTATGATGGATTTAAATAAATCCCACATACCAACACTCCCCCTTTTCCCCTATTCCCTTTTTGATATAAATTGACATTTTTTCCGTTTATATGGACTAAAATAACAATTATTTGTTTACCCGATATTTTGTTGAACATTAAGTACACATTAAGGAAATCTTTAATAGGATTTCGTGAAAGGTTTTATAGTTGTTAAAATCTCTCTTGCAGAATTATTACTATAACAACTATTCTCTTAACGTACAAATACGGAAATTTATTTTGCATGAAATATGTTTTCATGATGCTATTAAATATTTTTCAACACTATTAAGAAGTTGATACTTAAGGAAGTAAACTTAGAGGTAGACAAATTCCTCGGTATTCAGGTATTTAAAAAGCTAATGCGCAGTAACTTAAACACTTGGGTCATAAATATTTACAACTTTAACCTCTCCTTTATTACAACACCGAAGTGTGACTCCACTTAAAAAATCATATTCTATTTTTCTTTATAATAATGGTGAAAAATATGATATACGGAAGATGTCATGTACAGAAAAAAATCACAGCTTGCATTGATTAATCTAAAGATATCTCAAGTATAGATCAATGCATAATGTATAACTTTATACTACTTTTTTTATAGTGTTAATAGCGAGATAAAGAATAAAACTTAACACACACGTGCCCATTCCAATGCAAAACAATTAATTTTTATGTTTTGGTGGTTATAATTTGAAATGCATTTATTTCTAAAGAACATTTGATTAATTTACTTTGCATCACTGCGATTTTTCACCTTAATCATATGCGTTATTCTGTACCGTATTGATTACCTCCCTTGTTTAAGTGCTAAATACGCTTACTAAACTATAAATACATGCACATATGGGTTTTAAATGTTAGAAAATGAAATGATAAACTAGTTAGATGTCTTTCTCAAATACCGATATCATGTTTAAGATATGTGTCTTTTATATTGATTTGTTCTAATAATAAAAGAAATATAACATCTCGAACAGTTTGTTCACCCTTAACAAGATTATGTGAGCGTTGGCTAGCTCCTCCGTTGACATTCCTTGACTAGGGTGTATACTGAGTTCCATCACCATCAGTGTGATGTTAAAGTTATATGATATTAATAATTTTGTTTATCAAACTTTCCATATATTGATATATGATTATGAAACGTAACTCTCTTTTTATGTAAATATGGCAAGTTAATAATAATTATAAATAAAACAATTAGGAAAAAAAACAAACAAACAAAACATACTCATACATCAAGAGTAAAAACTATTTGTATGCAATGTTTGTATAACGCACATGACTTAATGCGAAAATATATTCAAGATGTGACATTATGTGTCAGATTCCCTCAAGATGATCAAAAACCTTTTATATATAAATATACAACTAGTGAATGAGCTTGATGTGTTTTGACCATTTATCAAGCCAAAAGAAGCCAATGTTGACAGCTGTTCTTCCATGCAACACAATTCTTACAGGTGTCTAAACCCGCAACACAATTTTAATACCTGTCTTATGCCGCAACACAATTTTTACAGCTGTCCAATGCCGCAACACAATATTTACAGCTGTCCAATACCGCAACACAATTTTATGACTTTCCAATGCTACAACATATAATTTTAATAGCTGTTAAATACTGTTACACTTTTTTTTCGATCAAATTCTTGGTCATATCTCGGCGGTCGACCAACCTAGCCGGCTTTGCTGGAAATCTAACTAGTTGTTACACATTAAGTAACCCACATGATTTTTGAATTACTATTACACTTGATGTTCGAGATCAGTTGTCACAGAAAAATTTCGCACGAGGATCGAACAAGCGGCAACTGGATTATACATCCAATGCTATCCCTTATGAGCTAAGCAGGCGGGGGGGGGGTATGATTTCAAATTTGCATTAAGCCACGTGCGATGAAATTAATATATAAATACTTATGAGTATTGAATTCAGGTATAAGATGAATGGCATGACGAAAATGAACATTTTCTGTTGAGCTTTCAAGTCACTTAAAAATGTAAAAAACATCATATAGCGACTGTCCACTTGTACTGGTCGATGAAGATCTCATGTGCTCTTTGGTAAATATATTAGACAAAGCGGGCACATAAATGGCTATCATACAATTATTTAAAATAACTCTGTTTGTTAAGAAATCGGAAAGTTCATTTTCAAATCATACCATACAGCTTGATTTCTACAAATATTTTCAGGAGTCATTACTGTTTAGACTTAATTGAAAACAGACACAGTTAAATCCTTGAATGTACCAAATAGAATGTATATTAAATTATGGAAGTCAAAATACCAATTTGTTTACAGTTTGCCACCTTTCTGACATTTTTTTCCTATTCGTTTTTCTTAAGTTTTCACATTTAGGACTATTTTTTCTTCGGGTGATCTGCATCTCACATGTTCTTTAATTATCAATTAGACAAAGCAGGCACTTGAATGAATTATCGGCTGTTAAAGCGGCCTTCAATATTTCTAATGATTAAATGTGTTATTTTCAGATAAAGCGCTTCATATAATTGTAAAATCAAATAATTAAGATTGAAAATAAAATTTTGGGACGATGAAATACATAAACAAGAAGGAAATCCCTCTTATACAACTGTTAATTAGTATAGCTGACGATACATTTTTCCGAAATTTCTATTTATAGACATGAACGTCACTGAGGCGTTATAAATCATGTAAATAGCCCTCGCAATTATAATAGTGATTTAGTATTTTGTATGGAAGTCATAATAACACTTTGTTTACATTTTGCTGACATTTATTTTTTTCACATTTATCACTATTTTCTTCAGATAATCAGCATCTCATATGTTCTTAATCAATCATAAAACACATATTTCCATTTCTACTGAATGAAAAATGTATTCATTTCTGAGAAATGATGTGTCTTTAAGTCAATATAAATATACACAAAATATATTAAATCATATCGGTTTTAATTTAACAACTAATATAAGCATCAATTGGAGCTTGTTTTCTTAAGAGGGATTTCATAATCGCCATCGTCTGTCAAAAAGTTTGTTTCTTTCTTATCCGTTTCAACTACTTCCGAATAAATGGAACTTGATTTCATAAGAGGAATTTCATAACCGTCATCCCCTATGAACTTATTTGTTTCTTTCTTATCCATTTCAGTTACTTCCGAATAAATGTAATCGTCCTCCTTTTTAAATAGTGGTGTTATGTAGTGATTCTGACTGCTTTCTTGTCTGACTGGTGCCTCTTGCGTTGACTTTCTGAAAAAAAGAAGTAAAAAGATAAAATTGGTAATTTAAATTGTTATGCAATGGAAACATTGTAGTATAACCATTGTCTTAAAGGGAGTCCCCCGAGGTGTTTTAACATTAAGGGACTGGAACAATTTTTCCGAGATTCGTGTCCCAACTGGTAACGGTCTGGACCAATTACTTGTGTGCGAAATTCCAGGCCATTCCCTCGCCCCGTTTTCCCAAAATAATCATTTTTATTCTGCAAAATGACACAACAATGAAAAGCGTTGCAACGCTTTTGACTCAAATCCGGGTAAAAAATCGCAAAAAAAAAATCGATTTCAAATTGGTTTTGAGTATAATTCTTATCATTCTTTGCAGACTTTTCCATTTCAGTGCTCCATTTGATCTTCGTAAGGTTTACAAATTTTATGGTTTTAGGCCTTTGGACCTCAGTGGAGTTTCTTTAAAACCTTTGGGGCTTTGAAAAATCTACAAGTACAAACACGCAGACAGTTAATGCGAACCACCCACTTGAAGAAGTAAATGTTATTTATGAAACAATCAGTTTTATATAACCAAACGTAGATAAATTCATTAAAAAAAACTGTTAAATATGTTTTTCGTAATTTGTTTTATTTCATTACATAGCTGTAATGAAGCTCCACAATTTTAGACAGCGCCCTGTAGTTTTCATTTCTGCAGCATAAATTTCACATAAATTGAAAAAACGGGCTGCTCATCTCCCCATGTCAAAACACATACAAGCTAAATTTTCGAACACTTGAGATGGTACAAAGAACATGTAGTTCACATTTGTGTAGACGATGAATTGAATACCATAAAATTATATTGAAGTATAATTATTTAGCCAACGTTTTCTTGTTTAAGGCACACGCATAACTTTCGGATAGACTATACCTTTTACTTTGGGACAGACTATGCATTCCAGTATGGGACAGACTGTGCATCTCGCTTTATGACATAAAGTGCATTTCACTTTGGGTCATAGTTTTTGATGAACTGTGCATCTCACTTTGGAACAGACTGTGCATTACAGTTTGGGACAGAATATATCTTACTTTGGATCAGACTGTGCATACTTTTGAACAGACAGTGCCTCTCAATTTGGGAATGAATGTGTATCATACTTTAGGACAGACTGTGTATCTCACTTTGGAACAGACCGTGCATCTCACTTTGGAACAGACCGTGCAACATACTTTGGGACAGACTGTGCATCTCACTTTCGGACGGACTGTACATCATACTTTTGGACAGACTGTGCATCTCAGTTTGGGAATGACTGTGCATCATACTTTAAAACAGACTGTGCATCTCACTTTTGGACAGGCTCTTTACAGGTCTTACGCTCATTTATACTTTAAATCTAGCAACTGAAGTACCTCTTTTTCCAGATGATGACTGCTACGATGATACCAACGATGAACACAACTAAGAAAATAGCCACAAAAACATACACAGAAGCTGAAAAGACAACCAATATCACTCTTATACAAATGGAGCTAATTACCAAATCTTGTTGGGTTGTTTTTTGTTTTTTTATATTCTCGTTACAGATGCCTTTAAAAGCTGCATAATATCAAAAAAGTTAAGTTTCAGACCTTTTTAATTCGGTAACAGAAGATCTACAGTAACGTTATTAAGACGTTTCTAAATGCTTCTCCGTATTATAGGTTCGCTCCACAAAAAAAACAAGCATATATTTAGACATTTCATTATTTCATATAAAAGTTGCATTTACGGCTTTGAAAATAATATCTTGGTGTATACCCCTTACTTAAGGGATAAAAAACTAACACAGTAAGCAACTGCTGGGTTTGATTTATTCAGCTCATCCCCTTGATATTAATTTTTACCTGGGCGTTGGGTATTTGGTGTTCTTTCATGCTTACATAGTCTTCTCATCTTTCTATTGTTCTCAGAAAACAGGACGATAGTAACGTTGTTTTCGTTCTTTGTTAGATATCCGTAGCGGATATTACTGCCTTCTACAAGTTCACCTATGTAATAAGAGGATAAAAACGTGCGTAAAAGGAGTTTACTACATCAACGGTCTTTATGGTTTCAATGTTTATTGCATTATAAAAGAACAATAATGTTATACCAGCGACAAAATTTATCATGAATGCACCCCCCCCCCCTTTAAAAGTAGTGTAATTTTCGTATATATTTGATACATGTAAGTGTATAATTATGTTATTGTATATAAACATGCATTCCAAAATGTTAAAACATAAACCTTGAAGTAAACATTTTTGTATATGATGAGTCCTTTAAACATATCTTATTTTAACCCATGAGATACATTTGCAAGTCGGTTATTCATTTTTGTGAAATAAAAACCTTATCGCCATTGTTGAAATTTGCAAAGTTTATCTGTGTAACTTGTGTTTGGTTTCAAGTAATACGATATCATTTATCCAAAAAGCTTGAAGCATTTTCTGTTTATGTTTATATTGTTTAAATCGCTGTAAACCATGTAATAGATAAAATCTATTTCATGATTTGTATTGAATACCATTGAATTAACATATATTTATTATTATAATTGTCACCCCATGTAAAATATTAAATAGTTTGTAATAAAAAACATTGAAAATTGTCTAGTACCATCATATTTATGAATAACTTGGCTTCTAATGGTTCCTGTCCAGTATATTCCGGTGAGAACAGTTTTAAACTTTGAAGCTGACGTATAAGATATTGGGGTTGTGTCATGCTCGAAGCATCTAGACGCCGCTGTTGTCCATGGGTAATGTCTGCCATTTGTACTTTTCTCCAAACCAGCTAAAAAGTATAAATCAAATTTTATTATAGTTATTATTCTCTTGTCTTAATTAAATGGCATGTTTTCGTTATGCATGTAATGTTATAGATTATATCTCATAAAAAATACTTTGTTAGTAAATGTTTGACCGGTAGTCCACAAATATTTTGTTTTTAATTATTTGTCCGGCACTTTAGTAATTATGTTTAAGAAATATAAATTGTATCATAGTTTGGGGACATTTCTGTTGAAAGTGTGAGTTAAATCGTACACATATACAGTATTATATATGTACATATATGTACAGTGCGTTAACTGGAGTGCAGGTATAAGTTACCCGCACTCCAGAGCATGCCCATTGATGGGTTCATTTTGTCCGGGGTTTACATTTTGTGACGACAGAGAAAAGGATTGCGATGGAAATATCATATTCAGATGCTCGTTAGTTGTTTATTTTTTTGTGGGGTTTCATATTGCGGTATCAGGGAACGTGTTTTTATGTTTGACTATGATACAAAAGAGAAAGAACATCAAAACACTCGGCAATCTGATTTATACTCGGGGGCTACGCACCCTCATATAAATTAGATAGCCTCGTGTTTCGATGCTCTTTCTATTACATATTGGATATTTGTTTGTTTTGCATGTAAGAAATATATTTCACTGAGTGAACACCAGATGCAATATTTTCACGAGTGGCGTAGCCACGAGTGATAATAGAATAGCTGGTGTTCACGAATGAAATATATTTCAATCTTATATGTAAAACAAATACATTTCCCCTTTATTTCATGCTTTTTAGGTGATTTTAAGTATTTTTACTGATTTAACCGCGTAACGTCGCACATTCTCCTTTATGACTTCATCACATCATGACGTCACATCATCAGGTTTGAAATATAGTTTTGTAATTTTGTTACATTTTTAACATGACGTATGATGACATATGTCAGCATTTATTTTTGCGGTATTCCGTTTAGTTATTATACTCTTTTCATCCGCATTCAGATATAGCCTGGCTACAGTGAAAAATATATTTTATAAATATCACTAGATCTAGTGGTTTATCAGAATATAATCATCTGATATATTACAGTAAAACACTGGATTGCATTAAACAAAAGACTGGATTTAAAAACAATAAAAAATTTGTCCATTCATTATAATTATTATTTATTTATTTATTTATTTATTTAAATAATAAATAATAATAAATACCACATTTATATAGCGCCCTTTTCATTAAAATGTTCAAAGGCGCTTTACATCAATCATATATGTCTAAAACAATATAAATGAACAGGATTATGAACATTAAAAATATTTTGCATTAACTAATTAAAAGTATAAATTATGGAATTATTTTTACATATTAATACAATATAACTTAAAGATCCTTAAAACTCACTTTACAATATTATTGTCATACATTAAAATTGTCTTCAATATATAAATGTGTAAGAAATAATGTGCCTTTTAACATAAACTCATAAATAAATATTAAAAGCTACTTTAAATGCATATTGATGATTTTCATTGTTTTGTTGTCATACTTTACAACAGAAAATATATGAACGATTGATAAAAAGAATGAATACAGCGACATCAGACTAAAAGAATATTGAACCTAACGAACCTGGATAGCATGAGTACTGCTACACCAAGGTCCAGTATCGAGGGAGTCAGATACCTCCCCACAGCGCATGCAGACCCCCAGGATGACATCACTACTATCACCACAGGAGGAAAGGGCCACGCCCCACACCTTAACACTAAATATTCTTGAAATCTGACCCCTCTGCATTCACGAGCCATATATTATATAACACATGTAAATTATTATGATAAATCAATGTTAGTTTTTTTTTTGTTTTTTTTTTTTATTTAAAAAAAAAAAAAATATTTTCTTTGCTTAAAAATGCTAGCAATGGATTTATAATAATAGATAAGATCTTGCTAAATCATCGTTATAAAACAATAGAAATACTAAATTGATTTAAAAATTGTTTGTTTAAAAAAAAAACTTTTTAATAAAACTAATATTCAAATAACAGATACTTCGTATTCACTGTTTATAAAATTCATTCATAACAGTCACTGATTATTTTCCATAAGCTAAATTGAAGTAGTGTGTTTTAAGATGTTTTTTGAAACTTTCTACTGTGTTACAGTTTTTTAGATGACTTGGTAGTGAATTCCATAGCTTAGGAGCTGATGCCGAAAAACTCCTTTCACCAAATTTCAGTTTAGTTTTTGGTTGCACTAATCGTACAGGTGCATTTGAAGAGCGCAGATTTCGGGAAGTGGAATAAACTTGAATCATTTCCTGCATATATGATGGAGATTGTTGTTTCAGTGACTTGAAAGTATGTAATAAGATCGTGTAATTCACTCTATATTCGATTGGCAGCCAATGAAGATCTTTCATCACTGGTGTAATATGATCTTTCCTAGATGTACGTTTAATCACACGGGCTGAAGTATTTTGAACAAGTTGAAGTTTTTTCATGGTTTGTTGAGGTATACCATATAGAAGAGCATTGCAATAATCCAGTCTTGATGTCACGAGAGAGTTAACGAGTGTTTTTGTAGCTTCTTCGTTGATATATTTTCGAATACGTCCTATCTTACTTATTTGGGCATACGAAGATCTGCACACGGAGCTAACATGATGTTCCATATTAACCCTTGAATCAAGGAATGCACCCAAATTCCTTACACTTGATGACTGTTTGATTTCAGCTTGGTCCACATTGACAGTTATATTTTTCACTGAGTCTGTATTGCTACCCGACGAAAAGACTATAAGTTCTGTTTTGTCTGAATTCAGTTTGAGAATGTTGCTGTTCATCCAGAATGTTATTTCTTTTAAGCAGTTTGAGACAGAATCAAGTACAAGTTCAGTTTTGGTGTTGTCCAACGGTTTGAAAGAAATGTATATTTGAGAATCGTCAGCATAGAAGTGACATTGCAGACCATGTTTTCGACAAATTTCGCCGACAGGTTTTGTGAAAAGTATGTAAAATTTTGGTCCTAATACAGAGCCCTGAGGGACACTGTATGTCATATGCACAGGGTCAGATAGTTCTCCATCAATACAAACAGTCTGATAGCGACCACTGAGATAAGATCTACACCAAGCGAGCACTTTTCCAGTAAAACCAAAGTCACATTCGAGTCGATTAAGAAGAGTGTTGTGGTCAATCGTGTCAAAGGCAGCAGATAAATCGAGCATTACTAATATTGTAACTTCGCCTTTGTCAAGAGATTGGAGAATGTCATTTTGCACTTTGATAAGTGCAGTTTCTGTGGAATGAAATTTCCTGTATGCAGATTGATTTGGTTCATGTAGATTGTTAGTGTTGAGAAACATATCAAACTGACAGTCAGCCGCAGATTCTAGAAGTTTTGAGTCATATGTTTCATTAGCAACTGGTCTAAAGTTTTTCATAATTTCTTGATCCAAATTGTCTTTCTTTAATAGTGGTCTGATTATCGAAGTCTTATTGCGTGGAGGTACGTCGGCGGTGTAAAATGATAAGTTGAACATGTGCGTTAGATATGGTGATACTTCAAGTTTGCATTCTTTTAGGAGCCAAGTCGGTATCGGATCTAGTTCACATGATTTAGTAGATGACTTTGATATGAGCTTAAGAACTTGCTCTTCTGTAATAACTTCAAATTCACTGAATGTTTCTTTAGGCTTTTGTATTTGAGTTGAATTAGATTCATTTGTTATATTACATTCATTTTTAGATGCTATGTCAGATCTGATTTTTTCAATTTTGTTTTCAAAGAAATCACTAAAATCTTGAGCTAGTTCTTTAGCAGAAGTGTGTGATGGGAGCTTAACTATTTATTTATTTATTTAATTTATTTATTTATTTATTTATTTATTTATTTATTTATTTATTTATTTATTTATTTATTTATTTGTATTTACTTACTGTATAAACAGAGGGGTCGCATAAACTCACTGCAGTTTTTCCATTTAAATATCTTAGATACATACTGATATTCGACACCGAGGCAGCCATTCTCTATATTACCGTCGCTTATATCACCCGACACTAGAGCAAAAAATGAAAAATTATGTCTTTATGTCATTTTAACTGACTTTAAGACTGCACATTTACCTCGAAATGAAATTGATCTTATCTATTTCTATGAATAATTTCTAAATGGAGTATGAACGTTTTTGAGATTCTAACAAGCATTTAAGAAGACAACACATCTTTATTTTTGTTTGCAGCAGTTGTCAATAACTATATGATGGTTATGCTCCATGGAAATAGTTGTCTCTGTTTAACCCTCAGCGTTCTTGTGCGACTGCATCTTGTCATGCGACAATTGAAGGCCGAGATCATGCCTGCATTGAACAGTCATACTATGGGCTGCACTGTTTGCTATTCAGTCAGTATACTTAGTTTGAAGTTCGCTCTAAAGTGATGTATGGTGCCCTGATTGAAAATTTATCAAAGACAGGTTTTCGTGTAATTATCTTCCCTTTAACACATATTGTGTATTAAATTATCAGAGTGGTAGTGGTTGTGGTGGCAGTTTTCACTCCTTATCACGCTTGTTAGCCACATTGAAATTACCAGAGCACAGTTCAGCAACCGCATCGTTCCGTGGCAGCTGTCAAGCAGTTTTCCAGTACTAGTTGCCTTCACTTTCGCAAGGAACTGAAAATTCTGTACATACCAGAGCAGAGGTACAGTGCGAATGACCGTAGAAAATATTTCATAATCAATCACAACGAAAGAGATCCGCGCCATACGGGAATCGAACCCAGGTCGCCCGATTCACAGTGAAACGCTCTACCTATTTAGCTAACCAGACGGTTTTGAATTTTCAGAAAAAATATGACCTTTATACAAATAACCACTAACAGAATATGACATATTTAATTACATGTGATAATTCAGAGTGCCACGTCTATTTTCGCGAAACCGAGTTTAAATGAATACAAGCATCCAAGCATCCAAACAAACAAAAAGTTCATACCGTTGGTTATTCTATATACTGACATATGTTGATTTCCACCACAAACTACGCCATTCTGAGTGTCGCACAAAGTGTTACAATGCAGCTGCATATCATTATCAAACTTGTCGTTGTTTAAGCAATAACACTGATATATGCATATGAAAATAAAAGGACAATATCTATAGATTTACGTATAAATCGGAAAAGTGGTGTAAATTCATTTACGAACCAAATTGAGAAAAAGATGCATTTAAACAAAATAAAATTTAATTTCACAGATGTGTTTATATGATGGATAGTTTATAAAATTTGCTTAAGCATTTTGAATAGGCCTATCTAAAGCTGGAGCGATATGGATTATTTCTGGCATTAAAACATTTCATATATTTCTGAAAACTGCACGGCAACTAGGCGCTTTAATATAATACTTGCAAGACTAATTTCATAAGATCAATGATAATGATAATGCAGAAAGACAGGCTCAGTTTTATGCTTTAATTCAAAATAATGTCGAATTGATTCACATAATTATTTTATACAAAGTACTGCTTATTTTATTTCACATTAAAGTAAGCATTGAATATTTCGAACGATGCGTAACTGAATGATTTATATAAAAGTGTTATGTATGCTCACCTCATCCCCTTTTACGCCTATCATAGATGTTCTGCACGTAGTGTGGCAAGTCCCAGGTGTATTTCTTTGACTCATAAAATTTGCTTCCCTTTGGAAAACTTGTACACAACCTTTAGATTAAAATTTTTGACTAGTTAATAAATAGCGTATTGTTCCGAGAGCGAAGCATACTCGTACATGTATATTCCAAACAAGACCACACTAAATTGTTGAATGTCTATTTTCATGACACTTATCAATTATCTTTTATTATCTGTATTTTCTCCGAAAGAATCAATGCACAATTGCATTTGTGTTTTATAATTTTTTTAAAAATATCTTGCACATATGCAAGTTATTTGAAATACCTACCAATGTAATCAAAGTATAAAGTTGTCATGTAATATCCAGTCCATACTTGACCACTCCATTCGTCATCTTGAATTTCTGCTCTATAACCATTGGCATCTAATGTTATATCAGGCGTGGCTAACTCACATTTCTCAACTGCATCGGTCCAATTAGTAACATTATGCAGCTCATTTTCGGAACATATATAACCTTATAAATAAACAATATATATATAAATTTCTCATCAAACTGAAAAAAGGATATCTCTAATTATTGATAAACATTATATTTTGAACTTATTACAACAGGCAGAACCTAAACGATTGTTATAAATATTTTAACTTAAGTAACATGCCCAACAAAACTAAATACCGGTATTTTGTTTTCTTGTATATTGTAGTATATTGTATATATTGCGTTTTGAACCTCCCCGCCGTGAGTTCAAATCCAGTTAGAGACTTCAGATTCTTTCATATGAGGAAGCTATTCAGCTAGCTTCTGGAACACCGATGGATCTACTCAGGTACCCATTTGTGCGTCAAAATAATGCACGGATGGACACCTGAGGTATTCCTCCACCAGTAAAAGCTGGAACGTCGCGTCGCCATATGACCAATACTGTGTTGGTGCAACGTAACGCCCAACCAAAACAACTATATGGGGTTTATACAGGGACAATTACCATAGGTTCCTGTTGATGTTAAAAATCATGCACGAATAGGCACATGAACAGATTCCCCTCCATGATTAGAAATTCGGTCAAAACCATCTGTTTTTCAAGCTGACTCGATTTTGACCTCGGTTATCATAATATTTTGAGAAATACAATAACTTTCAGCATGTACGCTAGCAATAAAAAGGGTGATGTAGTATCATGATCATATTGAAATAGGTGATTCATTTCTTATATCTTCTTAAAGTCACATGTCTCAATTTAGTTTGCTTAATTACATGGTAACCGTTGAAACCATCTTGTATTGCCGTGTAATATTAATATCAATAAAATTGTACTGTTTGTAGAAATTTATTAAATAAAACCATGTCATGCGTTAAAATTAACAAATATTCACCACTGTTATGTATACTCATGTGTTATATTATATGTAACTTGAGTTAATAAAGATATGTTCTGTTCTACACCTTAAGCAGCATTGATTTAAAATTAGCGAAGAGAATGTATTATCTGCTTATAACTGGTGAGCTTTATTTATTTTGGTCTCAAAACAAACAAACACCTCTACAAAGTCATTCTAAATTATTTGAAATTAAACATGAAATGTTAATGAATTCCATAAACATTGTCAGTTTTAGGCTTGCCCAGTTTTGAATTATGTATGTGACTGTAATTGTCTTCTTCTACCGCAGGTGTCTTCTGTTTGCTGGAATAACCTTCTCCAGAACATTCATCAGCTTGCGTCCCGTATACATTATCAGTTTTAATTTGTTTCGCTAAATCATCATTTATGTGATTGTATGTATCCCCCTCCGCTTCTTGACAGTCATGTGTTTCACCTTTAGGAGAAGTATGCATATTAAGTTTTGCAGCAACCGTTTCCGTTGTGTCGTATTCGTTGTTTTTCATACCAACTTGTGCGTTTTGTACTCGGTCGTAAGTGGCGTGTTCGCCTAGTTTACGCCGCCGATCGTAATTGTTTTGCTGATTTTCAACGTCTGAGCAATTTATGGGACCTACTACGTTATATATACCATTTGCATTGTAAGTTTCCTTACCGGTTTTTTCAAGTACAAAATAGGTATGGGGCAAACTGTTCTCCATTGACGATACTTCAATATTTGGATCAGCAAATCCGTGGTGAGGCGATGCGTATACATTTGACTCTCCTCTTTCTTTATCAACATGCTCTTGCTTACCGTGTTCGTTGTCTAAGTTTTGATTTCGTGCTGTTGTCTTGCAGCATAGAACCGAAGGGGTCTTTCTATACAAAATATAACATAGATTGTTATGATTTCGATTAACAAGTTGACAAATATTGATTTTGTGTACAGGGAATTTCCAATTAAGTTATAAAATCTCAAATGAAATTAATGTAGAAATTTTACAAAGTTCAAGTTCTATGTCTGGTGTATTGATTCCGGAAATGATAGATAAAGATTGTTAAATATATTATTGCAAGGTTTCTATTAATGGAAATATGCTTATATATCTATAAAAAGATGTTTGTATAATCTGTATTATCAAAGACATTGAATCTTAACTAAATGTTAAGTATAGTAGATGAGATTTACAGCAATCTACTCATAACAGTAAACAAAATCAATTTACATATTTATAAACCAGTCTGATTAAGTAAGAATAAGGAAATTGCTTTTGTATACGTTACGATTTTCAAAATACAAATATGATACATTTTCTAGATATATATTGAACATACTTTCTTTTTCTGAGTATTATGAAAACAACAACAGCAGCAATCACTATGACACCAGCGACTGAAACACCAGCTGCAACAGCTGCTGCACCTAAAATTAGTGTTATGGATAATAGTAAGTGGCCACATGGCTGAGTTGTAAACGAGTCGGACTTGTAATCTAAGGAATGTTGGCTGCTCGGGTTCAAATATCGACAGAGGCAAGCCGTTGTTTTCGTAAGCAAGAACTTTACACCCATTGATTACTACTGGTTGCTTCCAGATTCGAGAGTGTTGGTGTTTCAATACATTCTTATGAACTATAAAAAAAAGATTCATTAATAGGAAAAAGGCGATTTTATCTCTCGTGCCCTTTCCCCCTGCACTTGAATTTCAATTTTCAGAATTTTTATTGTTATCAATAACTTGAATCATCAGATAAATGATATCTTACCTTTGTTAATCTTTAAGGTAAGAATGGATTTTCTGTCAAAACAGTGTATTATTCATTGTATGTATATTTTTTAATGAACATGGTTATCTGTTGTCATCTTTTTTTATGTTAACCTTGTTGTTTATAATTATTTTACCTAAATGTTAAAGACAACACGTTAAAACTTATATACGGTTTTGCCCCTTATTACAATTGCATGTTTTTATTCTAATATTTTCCTTATCAAAGTTGTATTTCAACAACTATATTATGTTAACAACAGCCAGCTGTACCTGAATCATCACCATCATCGGTTTGTCGTTGTTCCTTTGGTGTTTGTATATCGCCTTTGCACAGCGATTTCTTTCGTTCTTGAATGTTGCTGGTAAACTGAATTTCGTACCTCTCAGAAGCATCCGATCTTTTCAAATATCCATATTCTAAATGATCGTTTCCAACAATAGGTTCTAAAAGAAACAGTAAATACAATTTACAATTAATAAAAGTGACAATTATCTTAGCTGATGTCCATGTTGCAGGCATTATATTACAAATGTTTACAGTTAAGAAACTATGTTCAACTAAAAAAACGCTATATTGACACTAAAGCATACCTTAGAATGTGAAGATTGACAGACTGCGACACATTCCTGTCCAAGACTCTTTAGTTGTTCCATTAAAGTTCACAGCATTTTTATATAAAAGTGGCCGAACTTTGCTGCCGAAACATAAATTATTTGCCTGATACCAAGGAAGGTTTTGCGAACCAGTCGCTGGAGCAGACACATTGTAAACTGTTGTACCTAAAATTGATGGGAGTATGAGATCAATTATTTTAATTTATGTCCGGACATCACTATAAACTACTGCAAAAACTTTAGATGAAAAGACAAGGAAAATTAAACATGAAAAGTGCAACACACAATTAAAGGATAAATAAGGGGAAGCTTCTAATACTAGTTCTCATTTGTGCATTATTCCATTTCTGTCAGTCGATAGCGTGTTAAAGAATAATGCACTTTTAAAGAAAAGTAATTAAGTTGAAAAGTCTTTTGCTTTAAGTGCAGTTGCAGTAAAAAATGTATATAGTAGAGGTTTGCGATTGAAAGACATATTAAAACAACGTTTTATTGGTCAGTTAACATATTCCCGTTTTATAGTTGTCACACATGGAAATAGCTTGCCCCTTTTCCAGATGAATTGTTATGAATTTGTTTAGCACTGTTGATGCATGTTACAAGGTTTTAAAAGCTTAAATGTCAAGTCAAACACCAAATAATACAATTAATATAATAAATTGACCTGTGTTGGTATCAAAACTGCATATATCACAAACATGTGTAAAAACATTTTTTTTTGTCATTTGATTTAACTGTCTGCTTCAGTTTCTGAAAATGTTGACCTACTTATTAAATTGAATATTTCTTTTATTTACCATTTTCACATATACTGTGTAACGAACCGTCGCAATTGTCCCACAAAATATTATTGTCGCCTCCAAGTCTGATGCAGTTACTTTTATTTTCATTTGGACCTGATTCAAATACCTTATGAATGTGTAGAACTGTAAGTGTAAAATTATTTTAATTATGTTTGAACATTTTAAGGTCCAGCAAAATTATCGAAAGACTTGTTAATAAGATGCCGAGATTTGTTTCTTCTTCTTCAATGATAATTATTGCGACATTTAAGCTACATTAATTGTAGGCAGTCTAAAAAGTTCGAACGACAACAAGTTATGAGCATTTCAAATCGATGTATAAAGGGAATATATGACAGTTATTATATGATTTCTGTCAATTTCATTGGTGGCACGGAAATAGCATTCTACTAAATTTGAAAAGATATCCATTGCTTTTTATAAACATGTGTACTCCCTTACGAAAAAAGCACAAGTTAACAAAAGATGAAATTTAAGTAGCTATCACTCCCGTCGAAGTTTCTCATTTATGTAGAACAGCACGAATGAACACTAACATATCCTTATTATTTCTTTTATAGATATTTTTTTAATTGCAGCAAAGTTCACAGACTAAAACCCTCGAAGGACCCTTATAAAATCAATATGATGTTGTACATTTCAGTGTTAATGTTATTTACCCGAGGGAAGTAGATCATATGGTGCTATATGTTGAATGCAATACCATATCATTTAAACATTTTGTTGACTAAATATTATTATTATGTATATTATATTTTGTACATTTATCACCTATGCACATCATTCTTACCTTTTTTATTAATCACATATAAAGAAATAAATGATTGTCCCCCACAAGCTAAACCTTCAGATGGTGGCGGACATGATTTATTACATGACGCATAGCTAACAACTTTCTCTTCTGCTGTGATCGTTTTAAAACAATAACACTGTAAAAGCACAAAATATCTGTAATTTCAAATCAAACAATATTAAATAAAATACTGATACATTTTAACTGTTTTAACAAGTCATATTACCGAGATGCGTGAACTAAAACTAGACTCTTGACAATGTCCATATATTTAAAAACATTTGATATCTAAAATCAATATGATTTTGATTTACACATACTAGGTTTAGTGTTTTAAATCTTATTCGATTTATGGTTAGTAATAAGAACAAAATAATTAGACTTAGATGTGTTTTTACATTGACAAAACTTATAATAAACTATGGATTTCATACTTTTCTATTTTTTTTAGTATTTTAGTATTTACTATTTTTACCTCTTGACTCATTAGTCCAACAAATATTCCGTTTCCTGAACATACGGAAAAACAATTTCCTGGTGAATTATTTCCAATTCGTTTCGATGGTATTCTAAACATTCCCGGATAGTTTATACATCCTGAATTTATTTGAAATCAAATTACATCATTTTTAGCCACTGAAAACTTGAATTTATAGAACACTGAATAGTGAACATGAAATGACGTTCATAGTATAAAATATTTCATTTATATGACGGAATGTAATTGTGAGGGGGATTTACAAAAAATAGCCATTCCATTAAAAAAAAGTGTTAACAAATGTTAACGTTAAAAACTTTAATGATCAACTGCATTACCTTATAAATATTACAAAACTGTTTTTCTGCAATGCTCATATTTGATATAAAAAACTTTGGCCTTATAAGCAAGCAAATTGATAATACTTATATAAGGTCAGTTATGAAATATTGATTCTAATTTTGACGTAAATGTGAGAGTTAAGGTATTAGCACCCTAATGCATTACCTCCGTTTTGAAGAGTATTCAAATAGGCTAGAATTACTGTTAACTACATTGAAAATGAGGGCCATGGGTTCAATCCCCAGAAGAGTCAACTTTTTTTTTCTTTCTTTTTTTCTTTTAACATTATTTATGTATCTCTCATGTCCCATATGGAAAGAAAAAAGTGTTTAATTTTGAATTTTTATAGGTATTTATTGGCTAAATTATGCTAAATCTAGTAATAAATATGGTACCTGATATTTTCAAAGTGTAATATAATCAAAACTAGACGGTAAAAGTATTTCATATTTTACAAGAGCAACCAATATACTTTTTTAAAAATTTAGGGAAACTTTGAAAACAGGCACTCATTTGGGTAAATTTTAAGAATTTTTTTAATTAGGCTCCCTAAGTAGAAAAATGGTCAGATATGTGGTAAAAATGGGTGGGGTAGGGTAACATTTTTATACAGATTTCATTAATTTTAAGTAGAAACCATAATTTTGCTTATGTGGATTGTTAGCTGAACACTATTTGTTTCTTACCAAAAATTCATGGGAAAACATTTTTCATTAGAATGTTATTGCAGATTATTTAAAGGTTTTTCTAAAAAGGGCCCTCATAACATCCTAGCTTGAGTTCAGAAAAGTGGCCATAACTTGATTTCCGTAAGGTAAACTTTGTTTAAATTTTGCATACAGGTGTACTTTAAGGTATACATCTGACCTATGATGTCAATTCTTTAGTTCCTGATAGTGCCCATTAGGGTCCTAATACCTTAAAGTAACCTTAAAAGAATGATAAAATATAGAATCAATAGAATCAAAAAGGATAATAGAATACTAAAATTAATATAGTATTACCAAAATACTCAAACCCCCGCATATTTCTGAAGTACCCAAGCCACCTTCCATCCATATCATTTGTTATGTTCTGATCTTCCTTTACAGTAAAGATTTCACCATCATAAATAAACTCTGGTGTTGCTAACGTGCATGTGTCGTTTGCTTTGTCCCATGTCACAGATTCATGGTAGGAAACTGGAATTTAGAATGTATCTTTAGTATGTGCCTACTATATACTTTTCTTTTAGCTGTCAGGATAGTTAAATATTGAACGCGCTAGTTTAAATTGCATGTGTGTGTGTATACACGAGTTTATATTAGTTATTCCTGAAACCTTTTACAAGCTTCTATGAATTTGACGCCTGTTCAAAATTACATTATAATATTCAGTTTGAATAATGGATTTAGAGCAAGTGAGATGCTTAAAATCTGAATAAAATTCACTGAATATGAAACAAATTTCAGTAAAAGTAGCAAACTCCAAACAATATTTGTAGTATTACAAAATCACTACATCTTTACTCATTGCCAAAACGCAAAAGAATATAAGGATGGCTGAAATATTAGATAACAACATTTTGGTAAATTGTTACAGAACAACAATTTAACTTTTGAAAAATATAAATAGCAAAGTTTTAAGTTAAATTGGCCTTTAAACTAAAACATCTCTTCCCCATCTGCCCACCTTCAATCACCCACCTTTTATCGATTTTAGTTAAAATTATCTGTAAAAGCATTTATTTTCCTTTTAAACGTGTCGGTATTTTTAAAGTCGTTATATGCATTGTTAAAAAATGTTTTTATACGCGAATACACTATAAATAGTCACCTGCTACTATAAGATATATCATGATTCAAATCGGACAATCGGTGGTTTTAACCTACATCACTTCTTATGAATAACAAGACAGATTGTATTGATAAAACTTGCAAAATATATTAACAACGACAAACAATACAGTTATAAAAAGCACATAATTTTGTTGGTAAAGTTTCACCTGTGTGTTATTTCTGTTATTACCCGAAACAAATACTTCAATGATCTGAAAATTTTCAAGTAGATCTAAATGTATAAAAACTTGTATGTTTAAATCATCTGCTTGTTTCATTTTGATAAATATTCCTCTGCAATAACTTCCGTTGCTAACGGATGTTTACCTTTTGACTATTCAAACACATAATGTTTGAGACCCGGAAAGCACTTTTGGTTATAAACAACAAAATTTTCTGGTGCTTATTGATACTCTGAAATGACCCTTAGTTCGAAAAAAAATAGAGGCTGAATCGAAAAATCCAATGGCGGCCACTTTGTGTTCTAGAAATGCTCCACGTAGCTAGTCTACAAGTACTGTTACCTATGTAACAATACAATTTTCTTAGTCACATAGTACACATGAATTAACAGTAAGTACAACAGCCATTCTACCATCTATCGGCTAATTTGTTTTAGCAAAATCTATCATCACATGATACTACTGGCATAATTTTCAAGATGTTTTACAAGTCATACGAGTACGCTTAGTTGAATGATTTTATGAACAACGTAAATGACAATGTTTACATATTTTACTAGTTTCATTCAACACATCCTTGAATACGTATGAAGGATTGCTAACGACAGAAATAAGAACTTTAAAAGCTAGTCATCAATTTAGTTGCGGTATATTTCTTCAAATCATTTTCTCATGCCGACAATCATTTGACCGCCGCCATGAGAAAAGGGGCACTCGGGCATATATGACGTAACGTCAAAAACTTCGGGAAAAGGAGAGCGGCTAATGACAGCGATTTTTTCGTCGCCATACTAGTTTCGGTGCGCGAGATTTATAAAGTATTGGCTGTATATGAATTGTTTGAGGAAATGGACGAATTTGAGGTAAAAAACAAACATTATATTATATTTATTTTTAAAAATTTGGTGTCTAGTCGTCATATTTATTGCCTTTTTAAACACGTCTGCTGTTCGCTATCGTTTGCAGCTTTAATCCCGGTCTACGAATTATTCACAGCAAAACTGTACATTAATTTTAAATGATGTCACCACTTTGCAATTTCTGTCAGTTTATGTCATATTTGGTTTAATTAAAACTGAATTTTATTAGCGCTGTATTGATTTTTTTCTTTTGACAGCAGTGTTTACATAAATGCTAAGCGACGTGATTCTCTCCCCTGTTTGCTATTTTTAGCAAAAATTATTTTATATAATAAATATTGATCACATATGATTACATGTGTCCGTGGCTCAGTGGATAAGCGTGTGCGTTTCGTGCGCGTCGATCGTGGTTCGAAACCTCGTTCAGTCTTATTTTTTTTTTACATTTAATCTTTTAAAATGTTCTTTCAAATACTTTTTTCGATTATTTTAGGAATTAAATGGATTATTTTGAATCATTTGGAGTACCTGCCGAGCAGAGTCCAACATCAACAGAGGTTGATATTCCTGAAGATCTGAGCCAGGAGGTTTGAAGTCAGTGACAGTGACCAAGAACAGTCTGACACAGAACAGGTAGTGAATGAAAGGATTGAAGAAGTGATTAGAAATTATGACACTGTAAATTCCAGGAAATCAGACTCAGACAGAGACACAGATGACGCATCATGTAACAGAGCCTGTAATGTTTGTACGTGTAAAGTTGATTGCCTTCTCTAGTTTGACAAAGCTTAGTTGTTGACAGTCCACATACTTTCTATGAGAGAGATTGACAGAAATGAAGCAGAGATGTTCATTACTGGGAGTGTACATCAAAATTGCTGCTGGACGAAACTCTTAAAAGGAAAAACCGCCGGAAACGGACTCGTTTTTAGATACACATTTCATGGTAAACCTATCTGTAAGAAGGCATTTCAATGTATGTAAATGATATCGGATCAAAGCTCTCCGAAAACCTACTTGATCACTTTACTACCAATGGCGCAATACCACGTACCCACGGAAACAGTGGAAGAAAACCACACCATGCCCTCGGTTACAATGAGATACGTTCTTTGTGTAGACTGCGATTTTATGGTATGCTGATATCAATGGTTTACCTATGCAGCAGCACCCAGGGGCCGTGACGGGGAAGCCCCTATTTCTTTCTCCCGTCGAACCTTACAAAAGCTTCTCTACACAGTCAATATTGTCAGGCATGTGAGGAGTCAGATGTACGGAAGCTCGGAATGTCATCATTCAAAAATGTATGGAAAAATTGCATTCCACACATAAAGATAATGTACACCAAAAGATGGCGTGTGTCATAAGTTTGAGCAGTTGCGAACATAGTGTTATGGATGCTGTGACGGAGCAAGCAAAACTTGATGCAGCAAATTGTCTCCGGGAAGCATGTGCAGGTATTCTATATTGCCTAATTGTTATCTTGTATTTTTCAAAGTAGCTTTTTATTTTCCCTTTGTTACATCTCATGTAAGTAATACCGTAGGCATAAAAATCAATAGATATTTTTATATACATGTACATCTTGGACAAACCACAATATATGTTTTACCTTAATGTTTTAGGATGCTCAAACAGAACGTCAGGCGTACATGACCAGCGGTTATTCAAGCGGAGAGAAGAGATATTAGGTTTCACCCGACGACAATACCCGTTGCAACCAATTTCCAAAGAGTTTTCAGTAAGGGGTAATGCATATGACGTTATGGTATAAGCTTTAAAGATCCTTTTACAGGTTATATGACCATTATTTAAACGGTTGTTGGTATATATAACCGAGCTGTTAAGGGGCAATTGCAAATATTACCTTTACATTCATCTAAGAATTTAATTTTTTATTTACCGAACTTAAATAATAAATTTTGCAAACTTTCTTTTATTATTAGAAAGTATAAAATGAAATAAATATTAGTAAATTCGATTTGCAAGCAGTGCATACAGATTATATTAACGTCACGAATTGATTCCGTTGAAAAAATGGACGTTATTTAAAGGTGCAATATTATAATTGGATTAGTTGCAAAAAACATATTGAGAGTGTATAGTCTGAAAGGCTCCTGTCTTTATAATTTGATAGATTAAAAAAATGGATTTAACATAAAAAAACTGCATGGTTTTTAAATTAACAATTTTGGAAAATGCATATGTTGATTCATATTTGGTAAACTTAGATTAGTCAGAATATATTAGTAAATAAAGTCATCATTAGAATAGTCAACATACATGTATAATATAAAAAAAAAATGCTTAGTAATTTTATTGATTAATATTTGGTCAATTTATTCAGGTTCATATCCACTTTTGACTACAGTCAGAGTGTGACATCCCTCATCACAGTCGACAGATGGGACCCATGCATGTACTTTGTAACAGGCAGGAAAATAAATATGTTCGGTATCCGCATTGACTCTACAAGTGAGCAGTTTCAACTACTTAATAGATGAAGATCATTTCTATAGGTATTTTTAAACTTTTAAACCAAATTTACTTAAAAAGGGTTATATCATGAAGAAGGATAGGGATTGGTTTTGTGGAAAAAATGGGGGGTTTAAATTTTATGTTTTTGCAAGCAAAATTGTGTCCTTCCCGAAATAAAATTTATTGATCATTGCATTAATGATTTTTAAACCCCTTCCCTTTATTTATTGCCATTTTTTTTAATTGATTAAACTGTTTTTCATATAAATAATTGTACCTTACGGGTTTTAGTTTGGAACGGGGAACACATGGCCCCGGAATTCATTTAATTAAGTATGTTCCATCATTTTTTTTAACAGAATTAGGGTTTTTTGGCGAAAAAAAGGACTTTTTTTTCATGCAGAAAATTTGCGGAGGTAAACCCTTTTTTTTAAATTTTAATTTTATGAATTAAAAATATTCAGCATATTCATTGATTAATAATACTAAAACAAGTAATATAAGTTATTTCCCCGTTCCTTTTTTCTTGTTAATAGGTCAAAATAAGAATAGATACACACTGGCGTATCTTTGTTGGAGAGTAGACAGAGGGTTACATGAACACATTTTCAATTGAATATGGCTATTCCCGGGCATACAAAGTAAGTACCTTGATATATTTTATACAAAGCATCGTTGCGGCATATTCGTAAGCGTTGGTTTATGTTTTACTAAAGTAATAAAAATCTTTATGTTTCGTCACAAAATTAAATAAAATCCTCATATTTTTTTCAGATATAAGTTAACACATAGTTAAGTAACAGCCTACTCAAAAAATTGATGACGAAGTGGATTTTACTACTACAGTTGTTTTATGTTTATGTGATAACTAATTTGTTTGTACTGTCATTCTTTAATTTTCTTGTACTTTATTTTTATCTAAGGTGTCTTGTCGATGGTGGCTTTCGGGCGAATTAAAAAACTATTCAAGAGGTCTGATTGTGAGGAGGTCTGAGTCAATTTGCAGACATTGTGGAAAATCGGCAAGGAACAATTTCCCTGTTTTATATCGAAATTGAAAATGGGGTGATCAGACATGGAAAATGGTAATTAATTTTCTACAGAGTTTAAACAGATTTTCGATAACTAGTTAATAATATAAATGTAGGCTTAAACATTATAACAAGCATGTATAATAATGATGATCACTATCACAGCCACGCCGATCGCTAGCAATACACATACATAATAAGCAACAAACAACAAAACGTTATTTATTTTAAATGCAAACAGAAGAAAGAAATGCAATGCCTAAAATCTTTTTTCACAAAGATGGTATATTTTTCAATAAGAATATACGTTATATACATATTAACTGCATTTAATAAAATAACATTTTTTAACACAGGTATGACTGGAAGTCGTATTTGACGTGATATTTCCTACAAGTGAAAGGCATACAGAAATTATCACTGCTTCAGATTTTCTGCTGCAGACAAGTTCGGCTGTGTTTGTAAAGGAAAGAACAGATAGCGAGGAGATTAGAGTTCCGCTGATAAGACGTAATACTGAAGTTCTAAACAACAACCTTTCCCGAGGTCATACAGCTCGCAGGATTAAGTTGTACACGGCGCGAATATTTATACGTAACGTTAGAAAATATGTGCGTCCTGCATACCAAGATGCCACGTGCCCGCCATACACTGAAGAGTGATTCACGCTGCATGCATACAGAACTGACTGATGAATTTTTGTTATTGTTTTCAAGTTCAGTTTGTTACCATTTTTTATAATTAAAGTTTTGCTTTTAACATTATTAGGGCCAAGTCTTATAATTATAACATGTAATTGTTTTACATGTTTTATTCAAGAATACGATAATTTTGAAAATAGTGTTATAAAATAGTTTTTAAATTATATTTTATTAATATCTTACTTTTATATATTTTAGTATTATTCTAGTAAGTGCAAAATTAAAACTTTTGAAACACTTGACTTCATTTGTTATCTGCTAAACTACCATTTGACGTCGTCATAATTATTATGACGTTACGTAAATCTGTCGTTGACGTTGCATTTAATGTCCTCTTTTAAAACCCCTATATTCTCAAAAAGTATTTGCAAATATCAATGTGAAATAAAGTGCATCGTGCACAATAATGCATGTCCTAAAATATTAGCCATAAAACTAAAAATCGATAAAAATTGCCCGAGTGCCCCTTTTCTCGTGGCGGCGGCCATTTGTCACTAGACTATGGTAAATGATTTACTCCATTACGTTGTTATTTTTCTTTGCCTCGAAAACACAAAGGGACGACAAAACATTTCCTGAACATTAAATAGTTTATTATTATGAAAAACCTAAAACGGTCTACCTTTATATGTACAAGCAATTCTTATTTACATAATTGTTTAATATAATATGTTTGATACGAATCTAATTAGGTTAACTGAATAGTTATAATTACCTGTAGCAACACATATCCGAAAAAGAAGCAACACAATCAATTGCTTGACACCTGACATTCCTACTGTATTATGCTGTCTAAATGGGTGACATTGACGAAGATAAACACACCCGGAAGTATTGCTGTCGTGTAACGCGGTATAAAATGTAAATTCGTCTATTTAAAGTATCATCGCTTAAGAGAAATTATAACCGTATAATTGGTTTTACAATCGGCTATATATATTTAATTCGATGAAGCTTGAAACAGCCATTTTTGGTAATTGCACAATCATAAAGTGTATGTTGATTGAAGTGGTTGTCATTTGATTGTACATGTATTGCATTATTTCTTATTTTGAAATAATGGAAAGTAAACATGATGTAGTATTTGTTGAGGAATTGTTACTTGCATGTAAATGTTAACATGTTATACGCAACACTAATGTTTGCAGAACAGATTTTTCTCTGGCCTATAGCACATCTTATCTATACAGGTACAAGAGTACATGGACTATATAATTTCTTTCAGCATTTATCAACCATATAACATAAGCATTATTCAAAACGAAAACAGACATGCATTTTGTAAGACTTTTGATTGTTCCAATGACTAGCTAACAAATAAACAGCTTACAAAAGTTAATAATATGCATATATCATACACGCAATTTGTGCCTTAGCGAATTTACCATGATATGTTCTTGTATGAAAAATGTTTGTAAATGGAACGATAACTGTAACGTCGTATCGAAATTATCTTTTTACTAGAAAGAAATGATAGACAGTAAGTTTAAATGAATCACATCATCTTTTGTTATTCCGATATCCTAATTTGGTTAATATACAAAACATAAACCCGACAAGAATAAAACAGATTAGTTTGCGGAACGCTTAGGATTCTGAAACGGGGGGCTTGAAATCTGTAAATTTATTCTTAAATAAGTAATGATAGATAACCTTAAAATTAATAGGCCTTAAATTGAAAACCTGATTATACTTTATGCACGTGAAGATGACCATTTAAGGTCAGTGCAGACGATCCTACGAGGGGTTTATTTGAAAAATCGCCTCCGAAATTAATCGCAAAATAAAGTAGAAGACAGATTTAGAATGAAATATGGATATAAATATTTACGTTTTTTTTTAAAACTTTGTACAGATAAACGATTCGCCTATTTAGACGTGCGTCCTTGTTTATCGCATTTTTTATGTTTTATCTTTTAAATTCATTCTACCACGACCGAAAACAAACGAGTCTATTGTAAATTGTGAGGAGTTAGGAAAGTTTTACTCGCTTTCCGTTTTGAAACGATGCTGGAATCATGTTGTTTTGGATTTTTCTGTGGGTTGCTTCGGGAAACGGTATTTTATTAATTAATTAATTGTAATTATATAGTTATTTTGCCTGTTAGCCCTGTCTCTTTTTACGTGTAGTTATTTAAATCAATAACTTTTTTTCAAAATACTAACAGTTTACTGAAATGACAGACAGCATCGAGTACTGAGTTATTTTACAGGTATGTTTTATTCCTTTGGTGTTATATTAGATTTTTGCTACAGAAAATGATTACCCGGTAAGGAAGTTTTAAATGACAATTTAAATGTAACGCATATAAGATTGATTTTTTTCATATTTTAGGTTTTTTACTTTATGTGTTTATCAAATAGTTTTCATGTTTACTTCATATACTAGATTCCTGATGTACTATTATGTTTATTTTATTTTCTATTGCAAGCGAACAGAAGTAATGATAGTAAGATATTCCATCACACTCGCTTAAACTTTTATTCAAGTAAGTTCTATATAGCATACGGATAACTATTCACTACACTGTTTCAATTGCGCAGTTTGTATACTTTGGAAAAACATATAATATTCACGAAATATCATCTCCAAAATTTATCTAAAAATTTCTAAAAGAAATAAATACTATGCAAAAAAATTTTCCCTAGATTCATTTTGGTTCGGAACTTGGAACTATTTTGGTGTACATGTTGCTTCAATATAAGGCAAAACAGAGTATAGCATAGCACTGTAAGGTATACTTCAGTTAAATTGGCAAACGCCATAGGAATAAAGTGACTATAATCGTGACCCGTTTCAACCCGGAAGAAAAATAGGACCTTGACTACGACCGACCTAGATAAAATATTTGTCCTGCGCAGGACAGTCAGATTGTAAACGTCTGTGTTAGTCTATAGCCCCGCTATACATCGGTACAGCTAAAAAGTAGCAGCATTCCTCTGATCTATCTAGAAACTTTTATACTTTTTTGAATGCCTCTGCAAAAATGCATATTGTTGTATTTTGCACGGTTTATGCACTATTAGTTTTTTCTACCATGCTTTAAACATGGATAAATTTTTTAACAT